GCGAAGCTGGCGCGCATTTGCAAGCCAAAGTCATCAAGTGGAACCCTTGATGTGCCCAAAGAGGTTTACTTGAAGTGGAAAGGAAAGGGTAAGGGTAGAGAAGAGCTCCTGAACACGCTCATCAAGTGCGGAGGCTGCAAGGCAGCCTCAACATACCATGCATTGTTGCAGCTATATATAGTTTTATATTCACTTACTTCGTAGATAGAGAGAGATATAGATAGAGAGAGAGAGATATATATATAGATCAACTTGTATTTCTCGGGGCTGTTATTTCAGCTCATGCCTCAACCGCCCTGTGCACGCTTCCAAGTTTGCCTCTGCAGGCCACTTTTGTGAAGAGCGTGAAGCACACGTACACAAGTTCTCGAAAGGGAAGCTTCAAAGTGCAGGGTGGGTTCTACTCGGAAAAGGCTATGCGGGAGGACCTGAAGTATGACAAGCTAGGTGCTTAGAAATTCTCTATAGTTGATTTTCACACAGCCGATTTCCAAATTTGTATTCTTGAGGCCCCGCATCGATGCGATCAAAAGCTACTGCAAGAAGAACAACCAAGGGAATTCCCACATCAGGTGCTGGGACTAATAGTATGTAAATATACACACAAACGCACCATGGTTTCCTACATCGAAGGTTGAGCCATAACCTGTCCATGCTTCGCAGGAAGGACCGCTACCAGAGCAAGTTGTTTTACTTCTGGGTGGACGACGTCGCCATCAAGGGTGAATTTGAAAAGACTGAGCAGGAACAGTTGGAGGAACAAACGGACTTAGGTACAGGAACTGTTGACCGTGTCAGCCTTGGTTTGCGTGATCGTCGGGTGGATTCCTTGATGCTGGCTGTTCAAGGGCTTGGGCCTGGAGCTGATGATGACAGTCAGGATGCTTGCAGCCAGGCAAGTGAGGACGATGATGAACATGCTAGGCCTGAAAAGTCTAAGGGTGCAAAGAACAAGCAGGGCAAAGCTGAGGACCTCCAGCTTGAGGACCCACATAGTTGACCCTGCCACACCGCACTATACTGAAAACATTTTTGTGCATGATGTTCTTTGCAAGTCAAAATCTGACTGTCTGTCAGTATCAGATTTTTATTTTTCTTCCAGGATCCTGACGACGTCAGCGCGACGCTGAATGAGCTTTTGAAAGAACAGTCCAAGCTCGGGGATTTGTGTGACAAGTTGGATGGTGCCACACATCCCGATGCCAAAGTGTTGGGGCCATATATCTTTGTGTGTTCACCAGTTTTCTTACCGCTACACACAGCTGCTAACCTTCACTCCCTAAGGTCATGTGACAACCTCCGCAAGCGTCAGAAGGACATGCTGAAGCTCCATGATGACATCGCGGAGCTCAAGTGCGACATGGATTCCCAGACAAAGCCGCCCAAAGAGTCCAAACCCCAACACGCTTGACATCAAGAAGTCAAGTTAAGTTTGGATACCCAACTGTCTCCATAGCACAAACAACTCTCACCTTGTAAGGTCCCTTACCAAGATGAAAGAGTACCTCACGCAAGTTGAGAAGACGTTGGGCTCCTAGCTCCGATAGAAATTTCCTTTCGGAGCCTTGGTATCCCTATTTTGGTCTATTGTCTAAGGACTGCTCGTGCCAGCTGCGAAGCCAACAAGGTCAAAAAGTCTTAGCCTTAGGTTCTCAGTTGCACCGTCCCAGCACACCACAATCCCTTCAAGCCTCCTCTGGTCCAGCAAATCTCTCTTTGCAGCCAGGACGGTCTTGAAAAAGATCAAGCCTGCCGATGGAAAGAACAACAGCAAGAAGGACAAGAAGCACAAGAAGGACAAAACGGATGGTACGGGGAAGGCTAGTGGCAGCAAAACACCTGCTGCTGGCAATGAGGATGGTGGCGCTGGCACAAAGCCAGCTCGCAAGGCTAAGAAAACCAAGAAGTAGACTTTTCACTTTGAAATTCTTTGACAGAGGGCGTGTGGGATTCCAGCCCGTGGATTTCACTTAGACCTGGGTCCACTGCACATGCCTGGTTTGCGCAGCTAAGATGCTGTCACATATGTTTGGCCGGGGTTTTTCTAAGCAGCCGTGAATGTGTTGGAAACGCATGGGTACACATGGAACATAGCTGCTGGAAGCTTGGGATGTTCGAGGCTCCTGTTCAAAAGTGGTGGCCTGCAGACCTGGCGTCTACTTACATCATTTCAGTTAAATTCATTGTTTCCTGTACCACAGCTCTCCCTTGGTCTCCCCTACGCAGGTGCCTCAAGCAAAGCGCGCTCTTCAGGCTCCATGACTCCTCTCGCCAAAGCGGCAGCAATGGCAATCGGGAAAGGCGTTTCTGGGTCTTAACAGTAATTAATTTGTCTCTATACTATACCTATATTGGGAACAGTAATCCAACCACCCTGTATAGATGACCTTAAGGGACAGGTAGGCGGGGATATGAAAGCCGACCTATACAAACCAACATTTTCTGCACATCTATTCATGGAAAAGGCTTCTATGAAACATTTTTTGGGTCTGCCTGCCCCGAACCCTTAGGTATCCAGCCGACTAGTGTGCAATATGGCTTCTGCTTTTCTTGATGAATACGAGGAAGCCATGGGGTCACTTGATGGGGGTGGCAAACAGCTTCGGAGCCAAAGACTTTTGTGCCACATGAAACGTCTTAAGTGTACAAAGAAGGAAAGCAATGTGTCTCTTCTAGAAAGGGAAGGCCTGCAAGCTGATTGCAAAATATCCAACATCGAAGTTGGCCTGAAAAACCTCACCCAATTCTTGCAGTTTCCGACATGTTGGGAACCTTGAGCTCTTCCGGCAAATTGGGGTGGCTGACTGGTGGGCAAGGATTTACTGGTGTGAGAAGATTTTGGGTCAAATTTCGTGAAGAACAACCGAGTCATCCAGTATTCGACGTGCATCCTACCCACTTGGAACGTTGCATACCGATATATGTCTATGGTGATGAAGGAACATCCCATAAGAAAGCTGCGTTTCTTGTCCAGAATTGGCAGCCAGTCTTGGGCAAGGGGACATCTTACAGTGTCCAACGGCCTGGGGCTAGTAGCCAGCTGGGTTGCAACATGCTGGGTGTTAGCTACACTACCCGCTTTGTGTACACATGCATGCAGGCGAGGCTCTACTCCAAGAAACCGAAAGTGTTCACAAAAATCATGGAAAGTTTTGCTGAAGAACTGCATGGCTTGTTCCACGATGGAGTGGAGGTGCAGCATGATGGTGAGCTGGTACGAATTTTCCCAACTGTGATAGCATGTAAGGGAGATTGGCCTATGTTGAAAAAGATGGGCAATTTGACCCGAACGCGCCATGGGTCGAAGGCAGAACCTGGGAACGGGAAAGGGGTGTGTCACCTGTGCATGGCTGGCACTGCCCATCATCCTGACTGGCACAACATCTACAATGGCAGCTGGAAAGGGTCTGATGTGGAATTACTGCCGCCCTGGAGGGTAAGGTCTCCATTTACAGCTTTGATCCCACAGCCACCAAATCTATTTGATGAAGTCTGGTTCTACCGGCCCGACCTCTTTCACACCATGCACAAGGGGGTGATGGCTGAACTTGCAGGATCTTGCATAGCGACTCAAATTTATTTTTCATGCATGTCCTGTAAGCATATCCTGTACGTATTCCTTTTTTTGCCACAAACTGCTCACCCCAAAAAAAACCATTGTCTCCTTGATTGGCGCCGCTGCATTCCCACGCCAGGTGAGCATGCTGGACCTTGGCATTGGGGTCACTACCCGGGGGGCTGTGCCGGAAAGGCTTCATCTAGTTTATCTCATGATCAAGGAGTTCTGCAAAGAGAAGCACATACCTCTTCACATGTCAAACCTTACGCCGATAATGTTGGGATACACTCGTGACCATATGTTCCCATGTGGGATACTTGGTGCAAATCCTGCTTTATGTATTTCAAAAAGACCCCGAAATATGATGGACGGATTCCCATTATTAGCAGAGGTTCCACCACTGAGAGCCCAAACTAAGGAACTGGTTCAAAGGTGCTGACACGACGGCGGTTTGCTACTTCTTGGAAGACTTTTTCTCCAAGACTTTGACAGATTATGCTGGACGCCACAGGGTCTACATCGAGACGATGCTGGCGGCTGTTAGTGCTGGGAATGCTTTTCTAAGCCGATTGTATCATTCTCACCTTTTTCTGTCCAAGCAAGAAGCAGGTGATTGCAGTGAGAATGGTTTCAAACTCATGACCAGCTATCTGAAGCTGGCGTCCATAGCTTACGGATTGGAGTTGACAAGATTTAAAATAATTCCCAAACTACATATTCTGTTCCATTTAGTGGAACGTTTGCACTGGGCTTTTTTGGGGCGTTCTGAAGGGGGATGCCTCAACCCAATTTCCTATTCCTGCCAGATGGACGAGGACCTGGTGGGCCAAGTTTGTCAATGGAGCAGGTCTCAATCAGTTCGGGTGGTTCATGAAAGAACTATTCGGGCTTACTTAGTTAACTTCAGATTGCACTTGGTAAACTGAGGGCTTGGCGCAACAAAATGCACCAAAGGCATGACTTGGGATTGAGCCAAAATGGGACAGTGGCGCTTTTGCCGTGAAAACATGTCACAGTGACAAGTGGCAATTTTTTCCTGCAACTAGGTTTTACAGGTATTTATGCTATATATGAGGTAACATTTACCATCAATATACCCCAGTCATGTTAGCATATATACCAGCATCATGGATCCGTCATGGGTAATGTCGTTGAAAAAAAATCCGGGTAATTTTATCGCCATGAAATCTTGCTTCCAATGGGACGAAGGGCTGATCTTGGTGGGGAATCTAGCTTGTTTCCTTTCCAGGATTTTCCAGGTCCAGAAAGTTTGGACGCCCACCTTACCATTCCCAGTCATGGGTGGTCCAAATGGCATTGTTTTTACATGTTTTTACCAACATTTTGTGTGTTTTTCCTAAAGTGGGAGACTGGAATGGATTTGAATGTCCTATCCAGCAACTTAGGATCCAACTTTTTCGGTGGCATTGTGGTTGCAGCCATGGGGCCACGTTTTGTTTTGTGTTCACTCATCACTTACTCATCCAGCTGTAGATCAATCTCCACAACAAACCTCATTTATGACACCCCCTTAAAAAGGCAGAAAAAGTCAAGTACCACTAGGTTTGTACCACATTTTTTTGGGAAAACGAGTTTACAAATTTCGTAACTGGCTAACAAGCCTGGTTTATAAACCCATCTAACTATAGATATATCATGATGTATCATGATGTATCTAGCATGAAGCCTAGTTAAGTTCCTTACGAACCATGGTTGCTACAGCCCAACAAACGCCCGGGCTCAACGACCTGAGGTGGTTGGTGGATGAAGCTGTACCGGGCGACAGTCTCCTGTTCTTCTACAGCCGCATGGAGAAAAGCGGTGAAACATGTGGATTGCAACAACACAATCTGGGATTTCATGGGGATTTAATGACATTTTATGGGATTTTCTAGGGTATATAATTCGGATAAAGGAGATAGGACATTTTTCCACACTGATGGTTCATTACTTGGCGGTGTTTGCTCCTTGTACCTCAGGAGCTAAGTTCAATACCCTCTCAAATGAACAGGAGTGTTGGGGGCAGCTTTACTTCAGGGTATTGGACTTAGCTCCTGTAAACCGTCCGCAGTTTGACCGGTTTCTTTGCGAAATGTCTTCGCAAAAACATCCGCAAGGTCACATTGAGTTGTCCTGGAAATCCTCGGGAAGTTCTCCAACATATTTTGTGATAGGCCACACATTCTTCTTCTCTTTCTTCTTTTGTCCACATAGGAATATCAAGAGTCAAGAGAATATTTTGCTTGGTGCTTTGGAACATGAATGGATTATTTTTCATTATTTTTCCATATGTCATCATCCCAACTGTTACTCACTCCATCATTTTTCAGAGGGCGAAAAACCACCAACCGTTGGCTGCCCGAGTTGGAGTCAGATCCCATCATGGGGTGCGTGATGCGGTTGGGTTGGATGTGCCTACAGCTGACATTTTGACATTTTCTAACACAACACTAAGATCTTGAAAAAGGGGCGATGAACTGCTAAAACATGAAGTGGAAATAAGTGGAATGTGTAGGGATCTCCAAATTCATTGAACATCAAACCGTCCAAACTGGAATGGAAACCGTTTCCTGTCTATTTGTCGATAATGATATTCTTGGTTTTTCAAAAACTACGGTTTTACATGGTTTTACTAAGTTTGACTAAGACTAATGTTTTGCTGTGTGTTTTACCATGTTTTACCATGTTTTACCATGTTTTACCATGTCTTACCATGTTTTACCATGTTTTACCATGTTCCCAGAGATCCACCAACTGCCAGACCAACAGAGCACTGCTCCCATCCTTTTCGCCCAGGTGGACATGGTTCCCAGCAGCCCAATTTCAACGACCGGGAGAAGGATGGCTTTGATGAGGTGCCACTGCCAGCGCAGCTGGTACAAAGACACATTGTTTTTCTTAAAAACACAACGGGCTTCATTTTTTTGATTGAACCACTTGAAGTGTTTCTTAAAATATATAAAAATGTTCCATTAAAAACATTTGGGGTTCAACCATTTATGTGAATTGTAGCCGCAGAAGCCCATGGTGAAAGTACACGCACACACAGACGCGCTCTTTGCAACTGTGTTCTTTTCAGAAACCATTTTTGATGGAATATGCGGATATGGGACGAAATTCCCAACCCCGCCAAATGGATGAATTAATTCCCGATTTTGCTGGTCATGTCCTAGTGTCGTCCAGATACCCATGCCATGTTCTCATAGATGTTCCATTCGTGCAATGTGAGGCAGTTATAAACTTACTGGTGCTTAGTAGGGAATGGATGGGAATGGGGGAATGGGGGAATGGGATTATTATTACTATAGTGATTATGGATCATTCCCCATTCCCTACTAAGCACCAGTAAGTAAAGTAGTTCCATAAACCCACCATAAACCCTACTTCTTGTAGCAAACTCTTACTAAACCAACAGAAACGGTTCTCACCCCCTTGAAATTTTGGCTGACAGCGCGCTCCCAGACACTGGTTCCTGTGGACGTTGAAACCTGCGGAATGTTGGTAGATGATGAGATCAACGAGATCTTAGTGCAGCCTCTGCCTGCTGGTGTGTGGGGAAACTCAGCTGACGGGGGTTAACCATCTCGGTTGCCAGATGTTGCCATGAAAAAAGCGGGAACATGATTTTTTTCGCTTGGGTTTCCGGGGTAATTTTTCTGCACATGTTTTTTCCCCGAATGCGTAGCAAGGGTTCCCGTTTCACTCTGGGGGTCTGGGGGTTGAGGGTGTGTTCGCTCGACGTTGCCGAACCGTCCGCAACCGTCCGCAACCGTTCGCAACCGTCCGCAACCGTCCGCGGTAGGTCCATATGGCCGTGCCTATGGGAAGTTCTGCAGAGGTGGTCATTTTTGGAGTTTTCAGACGTGTCGTTGCTTCGTTTCGCGTGGCAGGCGTGGCACTTCGTGACATTCAGACGTGTTCTGCAACGTGGCGAAAGTCGTTTGGCGTGGCAGGCGCAATACTTTTGTGACGTTTTCAGAAGATATGTTGCAGTTTTCGTGGCAGGCGCAGCACTTTGGACGTGTCCATCGTCATTTTTCGTGGCAGGCGCAGCACTTTAGACGTGTCCTGTTGTGTGTTTTTTGTAAATCGCATTGGCAGGGCTGCGTCAAGTGTCGACAAGGTGCAAATTCCGTGGCAGGCGTGGCATTTTCTGACATGTGCTGAAAATTGACGGAAGCCTCGCACGAAACATCGATTTTGAGGTTGCAAATTGTCAGGTTCTAAGGAAAACTCGTAGGAAAACGTCGATTTTGAAGCTGCAAAGTGTGAAAATCGGAGGAAGTCTCGCACGAAATGCTCGTTTTGATGCTCCCACTCGAGTCTCTGGTTTTCCTGTGGCCTCGCCGTGTCTATGGGGGAAGCTGCAAAACATGTCCTTTCGGCACGTTTCAACTTGTGAAAATTGGAGGAAGTCTCGCACGAAATGCTCGTTTTGATGCTCCCACATGTCTCGTCTCGAGTCTCTGGTTTTCCTGTGGCCTCGCCGTGTCTATGGGGGAAGCTGCAAAACTTCTCCTTTTGACATGTTTCCAAGCAGGTTGTCATGTCGTTTTGCGTGGCAGGCGTGGCACTTTGTGACATTCCAACCTGTTTGATAACGTGTCGAAAATGTCAAACTTGGAGAAAGTCTCGTACGAAATGCTCGTTTTTCTGCATCCACGTGTCTCGTCTCGGGTCGCTCGTTTTCCTGGGGCATCGCCGTGTCTATGGGGGAAGCTGCAAAACCTCTCCTTTTCGAAGGTTTCCAAGCATGTTGTCATGTCGTTTTGCGTGGCAGCCGTGGCACTTTGTGACATTCCAATCTGTTTGCTAACGTGTCGAAAGTGTCTCTGGTTTTCTAGACACGTCGCCGTGTCTATAGGGGAATAGGGGAAGCTGCAAAACATCTCCTGTTCGAAGGTTTCTAAGCAGGTTGTCATGTCGTTTTGCGTGGCAGGCGTGGCACTTTGTGACATTCCAACTTTACACTCTACACTCTACACCCCACACTCCACGCTCTAGACTTTACCCTCCTCACTCCACACTCTACACTCCACTCTCCACACTTTACACTCCACACTCCTCACTTTACACTCCACACTCTACACTCCACACTCCTCACTTTACACTCCACACTTTACACTCCACACTCGTCACTTTACACTCCACACTCCACACTCTACACTCCACACTCCTCACTTTACACTCCACACTCCACACTCTACACTCCACACTCTACACTTTGCACTCCAAACTCTACACTCCACACTCCACACTTTGCACTCGACACTCTACACTCTACACTTTACACTTTACACTTTACACTCCTCACTCCACACTCTACACTCCACACTCCTCACTTCCCACTCCACACTCCACACTCTACACCCCTCACTCCACACTCGACACTCTACACTTTACACTCCACACTCCACACTCTACACTCCACACTCCTCACTTGACACTCCACACTCCACACTCCACACTCCACACTCCACACTCCTACACTCCACACTCCACACTCTACACTCTACACTCTACACTTTGCACTCCAAACTCTACACTCCACACTCACCACACTCTACACTTTGCACTTGACACTCTACACTCTACACTCTACACTTTACACTTTACACTCCTCACTCCACACTCTACACTCCACACTCCTCACTTTACACTCCAAACTCCTCACTCCACACTTTACACTCCACACTCTACACTTTACACTCCTCACTCCACACTCCACACTTTACACTCCACACTCCTCACTTTACACGCCTCACTTTACACTCCTCACTTTACACTCCTCACTTTACACTCCACACTTCCCACTTCCCACTCCACACTCCACACTCCACACTCTACACCCCTCACTCCACACTCGACACTCTACACTTTACACTCCACACTCCACACTCTACACTTTCCACTCTACACTCCACGCTCCACACTCCACAATTTACAACCTCCACACTCCACACTCTACACTCCACACTCTACACTTTCCACTCCACACTGCAGACTGGCAACAGGGGAAATATGCACAAGACTGTTCAAATAAACTATTGCAGAAAAGCGGTGTGCGTGACTGCATATCCATGTGCTTTGACATCTGTACCATTAACATACGTGTGAGCATTCGGGTTCGTGGGCTGCATCTTTTTTGGAAGATATTGAAGAAAACCATGGGTTTTTTGGAGTCATGTACCCAATTTTGAGACGTTTATATAGATGGCTGGCCCATCATTTTGCATCACCACAATGCCAATCTAGAGATGCACCGATGTTTCATGGAAACGCTGGGCCAGCATCGTACTTTTGGTGCCCAGGAAATTTGGATGGTTCAAGGTTCAAAAATGAAAACCAGGATTCCAGCCAAAAAAAAGTTGAGATTTGATTGAACAGCTTGGGTGTGTGGATGAAAAGTGAAAGAATGTGAAAGATGAGCAGCTCAACACTCCATGTTTTGTTCCCTCTATATTTTAACGATATTTGCTAAGAGTTCCCTGTGCCGCGGAGATCTGCCCCATAGTGGCTGTTGACAACGCCCCGATCATTTGTTTCCACTACCCTTTGGCAATTCAATGTCAATATAGCTATGGACGCCCATTTATAGATGATTTACCATGATTTACCTATCATATAAATGGTGATTTTCCATAGCCATGTTCAATTAAACTACCAGAGGATATTCTCATTCTTGCTGGTTGAACAGAGTTTCTTGCTTGCGGATTTTGAACAATTTGCCCGCTCGTCTTCGTATTTTCGTTTCTTGAGAGCCCATTTTTATGGCATACAACCATTTCATCATAGTTGTAAGGAACCCCTCCAAAGATAGAACCAGTTTTTTCAGGATGTTTTTCAGGATGATATCTTTCCGACTAAAATCCATCCCAGAATATGGAGAAAATTCATGTTTGGTGTTTACCCTTCAGCAAGCAATGGAATGCAATGGACAATTCTCATTTCTAAATGATTTTCCCATTCCTTATGGATCCATGGCCACTGTCTGAGAAGGTACAAAAAAGCCTCCAAATTATAGTAAATTATACCCCAGTCCCACTTCCTAAGAAGGTACAACTGGATCCATAGGGATTAAGACCTTAATTTATTTATCCAATTGCCACATTTGAATACCGGAGAGCACAGAACATATTTCCAAGCTTTCAACTTGTTCATGGGATGAAGGGAACATAGAGGAAACATGCATCTCAAGATGGCCAAAAAAACATGACTCAAACGCTACATGTTTTCCATAGTCTTCCGAACCTCCCGTAAATTTTCCTCCAATGGTTTTTCTGAAATAGTTTTCCGCGGTAAGTTTTTCTCAAAAAAATCAATCCAATGGAAATGAACTTAGATCGACAAAAGGCATTCCTGCCACAGTTGTCACATCATTTTTTCCATCGTTTTCCACTGATTTAACCATCCCTTGGATCTGACAACCTTTTTGGATCTGGAAAAGGATGTAAAAAATGATGTAAACAATCTGTTTGGGATACAATTTTTCTATCTGTTGTTTTCCCCATCCATTGGATGTGGACCTAAGGCGCCTCACGTGTTTCTTGGATTCCTGCCACAGCGGATCTGGCTTGGACTTGCCATATCGCTGGAATCCATACATGGAGGAACTGCGAATGGGGTTTTTCGTTCAAGCAAAAACGTGGAGATTGGTGGAAAAAACCATGTAATCAATCCCTATGGATCCAAACACTGTCTGAGAAGGTACTTAAGCCTCCAAATTATAGTAAATTATACCCCAAACACTTCCCTAAGAAGGTACTTGGATCCATAGGGAATAAAACTTGGGTATTTATTAATCACAAATATTGTGATTCTGATTTGTTCCTGCGAAGACACAAAGATGTGGCTGCTGCATGGTGCTTCCAAAGCATTATCGATTTTCCCAGTTGAGGTGATCTCCAATGACCGACTGAATGGGGCGTTTCCAAATTGGTGCGTACTATTATCCAATGACGAAAAAAGGATTACTGATCCAGAATGACAGGTTTCCCAGTTACAGGGATGACGCAGATTCGTGGAGTGATCCTCCACAGTTGCCATGAAATGAAACTTCAAAACTGCGACCGCCGCAAATCTACAAAATCGTTTGTTTGAGTGCTGTCCACTTAGTCGATTTGTTCAGAACATGGGGAACATTAATCTCACGAGATTTTGTGGTTGCTTCAATGCTTGCCAAAATGTGCGTCAACTCCATATTTTTTTGATTTCACAGATCCATTGACAGAGGGGTTCCACTTGACAAAGATAGTATTAACCACTGGCATACCACTGGGCACTGGGCAGGAGGGAGCGTCATGGCATCTTGATCAGGCACGACAGAGGGTGCGCACGACCTTGACGACCGGTTTTAGCAATGGAAGTCTATTTCTCATAGCTACTATAGGTGTACCAAGGAAGCGTTGAATTGTAGACCATCCCAAATCAGCGAAATGCAGGGATTGCCTTGGTAGCAGCTACCCGGATCCCACCCCAGGGCGGCTATTATGGCGACGCCGACGTGATCTGCGTCTCCGCTGCGGCAGACGACGAGACGGCCAAGGGAGTTCCGGCCATGGGCGAGCGCGAGGACTTCCCCTCTGGCGCCTTTGCAGCGGCGTGGTGCGTGGCCTGCGAAGTGCATGAGACGCAGTGTAAGATGAATTGGAAGGACGGATGGGATGGGATGATGGGATGATGGGATGATGGGATGATGGGATGATGGGATGATGGGATGATGGGATGATGGGATTGAAATCTGGATTTTCCAAAGTTCCGTTTTTGTCAGATGACTTGGAGAGATGGGATGGTTTTGGAAGATGAAGTGGAAGGAAATCTACTGGGATACGGGGAATTGTATGGACTCGGTAGAGTGGGACGATTTCGAACGGAGATTATTTGGAGGGACGTTTTCGCCGGTGGTGGGAAAATGAAGATTTGGAACCTAAATAAGCGGTTTGGGCTGGGACCAGCTTAATCTATGATATCTATGAGTTCCCAGTTCCCACCCATTTCAAACTAAAGATTTGAATCCAATCGTTTGGGATATGAGCCGGAATCCACATGGGTGTCTGAAAATGGGGTATACCGGTATACCATGGCATAACATGGTTTAAAGTTGTATAACTAACAACATATGGTGAAAAGTTCTGATAAACACTTAAACTGTTTATTTTCATTATTTTTAGAGCTTTGCCAGATTTTTCCGCTGTTTTAATGGAGAAAATTGGGTGATACACCATGAAATTTTGGAGCTGTTCCCATCATTTCCCCAGATGGACATCCATCCGTTAGGAGACCTAAGGTGTTCCCATCATTTCCCCAGAAATCATATTGTGGGTCAAAACCCTGTACCCCCAGTGAACCTCAAGGTTGATGGTCATCCCTTATATATACCACACGATTTTTCGTAGCTTTTGACCCAGAAATCATATCAATCCGCTAGGAGATGCTGAAGATCGTGAAGGACGTCTGTGAGGATTTCCACTTCGGCCAATCCGTGCAGCTCTCGAGCTCCCAGAAGTTTGACCTCAAGCGTGAGCACCTCGGAGCGCTGCGCTGCGCTTGCGCTGGGGAGCGCTGGGGAGCTCGGGTGAAACGCGAAAGATTTGGACAACGGCAGAAAAAAAATTACTCTACTTCGTGTGATCCCCACCATGACATGTCAGGACGTATATTTGGACATATATTTAGTATATTCTGACATCCTATCTGACATATATTCTAACATATATTCTGGCATATATTCTGGCATATATTCTGGCATTCTATCTGGCATATATCCTGACATTCCACCTGGCATTCTATCTGGCAGTCTATCTGGCATTCTATCTGACATATTTTCTGACATTTCATCTGACATATATTCTGGCATTCTACCTGTCATTTATTCTGACATATATTCTGGCATTCTATCTGACATATATTCTGGCATATATTCTGGCATTCTATCTGGCATTATATCTGACATATATTTTGGCATTCTATCTGACATATTATTCTGGCATATATGTTGGCATTCTATCTGGCATTATATCTGACATATATTCTGGCATTCTATCTGACATATATTCTGGCATATATTCTGGCATTCTATCTGGCATTATATCTGACATATATTTTGGCATTCTATCTGACATACATTCTGGCATATATGTTGGCATTCTATCTGGCATTATATCTGACATTCTATCTGACATTCTATCTGGCAGTCTATCTGGCATTCTTTCTGGCATTCTATCTGGCATCTATCTATCCTGACATTCTATCTTCTTTCTGGCATTCTATCTGGCATTCTATCTGGCATCCTATCTGACATTCTATCTGGCATTCTATCTGGCAGTCTATCTGACATTCCTACATGAGGTCCGGCAGGGAACACTTGGCATGGATACTCGCGGTTGAGGTCCGGCAGGGAACACTTGGCATGGATACTCGCGGTTGAGGTCCGGCAGGGAACACTGGGCGCGGATGGTCGTGGTTGAGGTCCGGCAGGGAACACTGGGCGCGGATGGTCGTGGTTGAGGTCCGGCAGGGAACACTGGGCGCGGATGGTCGTGGTTGAGGTCCGGCAGGAAACACTGGGCGCGGATGGTCGTGGTTGAGGTCCGGCAGGGAACACTGGGCGTGGATGGTCGTGGTTGAGGTCCGGCAGCGAACACTGTGGATCGCGGGTCGCAGTTGAGCAAGGACGACGAGGACGACGAGGAGGACGAGGAGGAGGAGGAGAGGAGGAGGAGGAGCAGGAGGAGGAGCAGGAGGAGGAGCAGGAGGAGGAGGCAACTGACATAAAATCTAACAACCCTCACCTGGCAGGTGGGGAATCATCATTTTTGGGAAGCACGAAGAAATATGGTTCAAATTTATTTGAGCCAGACCTTCTCCGTTGCAATTTAAGTGATTCAAGTTTGAATCGCATTCTAAAAACATTTTCTGAGACTGACAGAACAAAAAATACCAAACCATTGCTCCAGTATTTGGGGTGTTACAACTGGGTATTTGGGATGAACACTCCTTGGCTGGAGAATTTATTCAATGCCAAACTGGGCTGTTTTTTTTTCACCCCAAGGCCTAGGCTGTTTAAATGGGAGGTACCATTGTTTGGCAGATCATCACTTTTTATCACTTTTTGGGGGTAACTCCAATGATCCGTAGTTCGGGTCTTGGTTTTCGGTACCCATACACAATAAGGACAATACGTATCGGTTTGTCCAAAATTGGGGCACCCCAAAATTTGATTTTAGTCCCAGTCGAATGGGTTTGTCTATGTTTGTCTTAAAATAGGGTCCAAAATCTTATGTTTTGTCATCATTTTCCCTACAAAACCAACCATATTTTCAGGTATTACCATTTTTTTTCAGGCAAAGGCACATGTATTGATTAAATGTTCACGTAAAATATCAACATAGAATGCTTGGTTTTATACCCCCATGTTTCTAGCATGGCAATTTCGGGGTACATCATATCCCATTTATGGCCATGAAATGGGGATGCACTCCACTAATTCATCCTCATATTGAAATAGCCATAACTTGGGGGTATACCGGTACACCCCTATTTTCAGAGACAGGGGGTTGGACTTTAGTCTTAATTACTCGACAAGCTTGGGGCCCCCTCCACCCCAGCTATGTTGTTGGTTATAAAAATAACCCCAATGATCTATAGATATACCTACCAATCTACCAACTATCTCGGGGGGCCCATCTTGTAGTAATCAAGGTGATTTTCCAGGGTGATTTTTTCAGACTAGTGCTAGATGTTTTGTTCCTTGGATTCCAAGCAAGTATTTTGTGAATCTCAATTTACTTCTGGAGATATTGCACAAGTCAGAAATGTGGTAAACCCCCAAAAAAATCAGATGGACAAGGCATTTGCGCGATTTTGGTAAGATTCTGCTTTCCCTTCCCCCATTCATATTGAAAAACACCCCCGAAACCCATGGTTTACGAGCGGATTTGGACATATTTGGGACCATGGAATGGGGGTGTTTGACATCAGGGGATCGGATTATATCATTCTATCTCCATCATTATTCTCAATATTCCACTATAACTGGTTGGTGGTTTGGAACATGAAATTTATGACTTTCCATATATTTATATATATATATATATTGGGAATTTCATCATCCCAACTGACGAAGTCATATTTTTCAGAGGGGTAGGTATACCACCAACCAGATATAATATAGTTTACTTTCTTGTATATAGTTGATTCCTACTTTTACAGCATCAAAATCATCCATGAATATCCACGAAATAATCCATTCCATAATCCTATAGTCATCCAATATTATTATCCTGTTATATCCATGAAACCAAAGGGATTGGATCATATTGGATTACGATCTTCGGCTACACTGAGTTCATCGGCCAAAATGGTGGGGAAGTCACGGGTATCCCCCAGATCAGGCCCTGTTTTTTTAATTTCTGGTGATCGTTGATACGTCCCAGTTGTAGTTGATTGTAGTTATATAGTCCCAGTGAATTTCTATAGTTATATATATAGTTTATCACCAGTTGTAGTTATAACCATGGTTATCCCTGTTAGACTGGTGATCGAACACGTCCCGATAGGATCCTCCAAGTATCCCGGATTTGGACCGAACTGGGATGATGAAACTGGGTAAATTTCATCACGACCTCACTGTTCTCCCGAACCCTGGAATAATGGTTATATTTGGGGACTTATCCAAATATGGTCTTAATTACTATAATTAGTGAATTATCCACTTAATGGGGAATTAAGACCATATTATTAAATGGTGTAATCCACTTCCAGTGAATTATTATCCAAATGGTGTAATTATCCAGGTTAGTGAATTATTATAATTTGCCCAGAAAGCACCCAACTGGGAGTCCATTTTTTTCGTCGTCGGCTCGATCTTCAGCCGAGGTTCAATTTCCACGACTGCATCCCCAACAGCAATGACAAGAAGGGTCCCTCGATGGTTGCCATACACTTTCATATGACAGATGATTAATTAAACAAGTATATGACTTGGATTTTCCCCCCAATAAGATTCAGATTTTGCTCGATTTTTGGTCCAAAAGCAACTAAGACTTGGATTTTCCCATGCATTTTCCTATGGATTTTCTGCAGCAAACCATCGCCACTTCCTTTAACGAGGAGCCGTGGTGAACGATGGGGAAACGCCCGTCTACCCCAGCGAGAATAAGTTGAAGAAGTCGGCCTTCATTCAGCACATGCAGCAGATGATGCAAATGGGGATGCCACCGGGGATGGAGGCTCGGCGCTGATAGCATCACCTGAGGGATAACAATTACCCGGCCTGGTAAACTAACAGTTTGCGAACTTGAAAATGGCCATTTAGTTCGTGGATTTACCCATTGAAAATGGTGATTTTCCATAGTTATGTTAGTTTACCAGAGGGTAACATGAAACATGAAACATGTACTGTTTTGTAGCAATGGGAATGGGAATGGGATGGGGTTTCTGGTGATTTTCATGGGGGTTTATGGGGGGACCTAATGATATAAAAAAGAGGATTTCAAGCAACACAAATTGTGATGTGGTATGGTTTAATTGGGTTTACATGAATGTATAATATATCGTTATATTTTAATTACTATATATATATATTGTATATCCAATAAACAATTGTTATAGTGGTTGGTTCACTGCAAAAAGGGAGGCTTTCTACCATCAAACAGGGGTTTGTTTTATGATGAAAGGTGTCAGAGGTGTTAACCGATAAACGTTGTGCTTAACCTCGCCCAGAACATGTTTTTCTTCAAAGAAAAATGGCCAATGAGGGTTCAACAAACAAGTAATGATGATACAATGGGGATGTATTATATAGATAGATAGATAGATAGATAGATAGTTAGATAGATATATAGATAGATAGATAAATAGTTAGATAGATAGATAGATAGATAGAGAGATAGAGAGATAGAGAGATAGAGAGATAGATAGATAGATTGACAGATAGACAGATAGACAGATAGACAGATAGACAGATAGACAGATAGACAGATAGACAGATAGACAGATAGATAGATAGACAGATAGATAGATAGATAGATAGATAGAAAGATAGATAGATAGATTAGATAGATTAGATTAGATTAGATTAGATTAGATTAGATTAGATAGATAGATAGATAGATAGATAGATAGATAGATAGATAGATAGATCCATCGATAGATAGATAGATAGATAGACAGATAGACAGATAGACAGACAGATAGACAGATAGATCGATAGATCGATAATTAGATAGATAGATAGATAGATAGATAGACAGATAGACAGATAGACAGATAGACAGATAGACAGATAGACAGATAGACAGATAGACAGATAGACAGATAGACAGATAGATCGATAGATCGATAATTAGATAGATAGATAGATAGATAGATAGAGAGATAGAGAGATAGAGAGATAAATTAGATAGATAGATAGATAGATAGATAGAGGGATAGATAGATAGATAGATAGATAGATAGACAGATAGATAGATAGATAGATTAGATAGATAGATAGATAGATAGATAGATAGATAGATAGATAGATAGATAGATAGATAGATAGATAGATAGATAGATAGATAGATTAGATAGATAAGATAAGATTAGATTAGATTAGATTAGATAGATAGATAGATAGATCGATAGATAGATAGATAGATAGATAGATATAGATAGATAGATATAGATAGATATATGTAGATAGATAGATAGATAGAAAGAAAGATAGATAGATAGATAGATAGATAGATATATAGATAGATGATTAGATAGATGATTAGATAGATTAGATTAGATAGATGATTAGATAGATTAGATTAGATTAGATTAGATTAGATAGATAGATAGATAGATGGATAGACAGATAGATAGACAGATAGATTGATAGATAGATAGATGGATGGATAGATAGATAGATGGATAGATAGATAGATAGACAGATAGATTGATAGATAGATAGATGGATGGATAGATAGATAGATAGATGGATAAAACTGGATATAGAACCAACCGCCACATGGCAATAAAAATAGGGACATTATGAATGATCCACAGCTTTAAGGGCACCATATTTTCCGATTTCATGTTTTTATTTTTTTTCGATTCACACGCCAATGCAGAGGAAATAATGGAGATTTAGTTGGATATAATATATATATATATACACATTACCCTCTGGTAAACTAACAGTTTGCTATTGAAAATTGCTATTTTTAGTGGATTTACCCATTAAAAATGGTGATTTTCCAAAGTTATGTTAGTTTACCAGAAGGCAATCAGTATATATGTACAACCTGCAATGTGATATCTGGATATAATTGGATAGTTGTTTTTTTCGTTTTACATTATTTTCCATCCCTGATATAATCTTTGGTTTTAGTACAGTACATCGTATTAGTGTATGTTATTATACAATACCATCATGTTTTAAGAATTTGTGTTATATGATGTTTTATTACATTACATTTTATTGTATTGTATTGCATTGTATTGTATTTTATAATACTATAATTATTATTTATAATATTATAGTTATATAATACTATAATTATGATGTTATATATGATATTATCATTATATGATATTACATTATATCATTATTCCCCAACAGCGTAAGCTAATGGGGTCTTCAGCCCAGAATAGCTCTGGTGTGCACTGGTGCAGGCGCCGGGTCAGGTTCAACAGGGTTCCGGAAAAGGTTCCGAAGGTTCCGGAGAAGGTCTGGGAGGCTTTGGTGCAGAGCCAGGTTAGGTTCAACAGGGTTCCGGAGAAGGTTCTGGAGAAGGTTCCGGAGAAGGTTCCGGGAGGCTTTTGTTCAGAGCCAGGTCAGGTTCAACAGGGTTTCGGGAGAAGCTTTGGGAGGCTTTCGTGCAGAGCCAGGTCAGGTTTAGCAGGATTTGCGGCCATTTAACTCACGGAAACCCAGCTGAGGTGTTTCCAGCGCTTGGCTTCGCAGCACGCTTCAGAAAGATTTGTAAAAATGAAACGTTGCGGCTGTTGGGGATACCACCTAAGCTTATATCATATTTTATTAATTATATGATACTATATTAGATGATATTGTATTCCAATATACACAGGTGATTCTCCAGCTAGCCAGGTTGTATAAATACTGGAGGGTATCTATGTGGCATTTACAGTTTTTTGTATCCACGGGCGCCTCACGCAACTCCAAGGATATGGGAGGGATGATGATGGGCTTCTGAGGATGAAGTTTGCCAATGCCGGGCGGCATCGAAACTGTAGTGGTTGATGGTTGAGAACACTACCCGTGTCATCAAACATAGCTGGAAAATCCCTTATCGATGGAGGTTAGCTGGGAAAATCAGCAAGCTGAACGATGGATTTTCCATCAAACCCCCTTTGATTACTGGAGGGTTAGGGTACTCACAATTTTCCAAGCATCTCTCTTAATCGTGGCTGGAAACACATGAAAAAATCGACCAAATCAACCAGCCGTGAAAGACGACTCTGCAACAATTTATCCTGCGCCAAAGGCGAGGTCTTGAAATGGCCGTATCAAAATTGGTCGGCCATTCCTTCATCCGAGAGAACTTGGGTTCCAAAAATGCTGCGAGGATCAGCCGGCCCCCTCCAGATATGTTTATTGGTTGATTTTCATCCAACTGTGGATGTATCCAGCATTGAAAAACCCGAGTTATGATAGTAAGCAACTTGCCGTAACTTGCCTATCTAATCTCTCTAGTTGACCCCAGCCTTGCCAGCTAGTTCGCGATACTCATGACAATGGCCTAGTCGTTTTTGCCCGTGGCACATAATTAAGGATTTAGCCAGGGGCATCAAGAGGCTACCGAAGGTTGGTCATGTTTGAGATTGGCGGAACCCATTTGATCACAATCAACTTGAGTCCAGACCCAAAGTTGGTCATTGAAATGCGCGACACGACTCATTTTGGGTGTGTACTTGGAGTGAATCAAGTGCCTGAAGATGATTTTCCCATAGAAAAGTGGTCTTTTCCATTTCCAGAATTGTTTCATGTACCATTCCTCGGAACTGGGGAGCAAAAAGAGTTGACCCGAGTAGCGCCAGGGCGTCCACGGTCTCCGGCTCAGCCATGGTCTCCATGTGGTCATTTCTTCAAATCACCACTGACTTCACAGGCACCATTTAAGCATCATCCGTTGATCCTTTCAGTGGTGAACCATACCCATATCATCCAATGATCCAATGTCTTTGTTGTAGCAAAACGGGTCGCCATATTTCTGATCAATTCCACTCCCCTGCAAGTCACCATGTTCAGCTGCTGCGAGAATGTCTCAGTTGAGCCTGGCGAGGTCAAGCTTGGGTGGGAAACACAGTAGGAAAACACTTGACAGATGTGACAGATGTGATGGATGTGACAGAAAAACAGATATCATCATGCTGTAGTCTGGATATCCAAAAGCATCCCCCAGTTCTCTAAGCCGTGGCCCATTCCCAAGTCCCCAAGTCCCCGTTTCCGCGCAAGGAGCTTCTCAGCACGCCCGTAGTGCCCAAGTAGCAGCGGTGGTGTTTTTCTCCTTGGGGTTGAGTTTAATGGGTAAACATTTGTGAAAAGTGGAGTATTCAAGGTTTTTTGGGCACAACATTGCGACCTACTAAACATACCATTTTTTTCATGGTAAGATTTTGATTAACCATGCTTAGGTAGCTGCCTGAAAGACGAAGACCGTGCCGTTGAAGGGAAACTTACTTTTCCAAATTGTTTCTGTGTTCTATCATGCACCCTGTGCAAACCAGTCAGTTCGTTCGTGTCAAGTGCTGGGCAAGGGATATCATATTTTTCGCCTGGGATGGACAGCTTGACATGGGGCCCGGGGTGAAATTGAGCCCCGTTGGCATCGACGCAAATAGACCCATGACAATGTTCAGTTGATCCCTGCTGGTTGATGTCATACGAAGTGTTTTGATGATGGCATGGGATGATGATTCTCAATGGGTTGGTTTAAGGGAAAATCTACAGGAAACATCAGGAAACCATGGTTTTTACCATCCAATATAGGGCTTTCCGGTTAAAATTTTCCCATCATCCAGTTCTATGAGATTCAAGAAAGACGTGGGAAATCATATGAACCAGGCCGTAGCTTCGACCAACTTTGTGAACTGGGCACCGTTCATCTTCCCCTTGGCTCAGCGTTTTCGATCAGAACTGGATTTTCCTCTGGTATCTGGGTAAACGAGCATAGCTATTGATGCTCTTGAAGATGGCCCATTTATAGCTATACATAGGACTTATCCCAAGCTATGGAGGTAGTACCCTCTGTTAATTTAACATAGCTATTGAAGATGGCCCGTTTATAGATTGATTTACCTATTAAAGATGGTGATCTTCCATAGTTATGTTACCGGAGGGTATCAACAAATTTCCCAACTTTTTGTCGAAAGTGAGGGTTTGTATGGGTTTGTCCAAAATGACCAGACTCGGATGAAGGACACGTTTACATTCAATTCTTAAAACACCAGGCAAAACCTTAGGTTTTCAAACAAAAGTTCCCTCGAACTAATCCAAAGAATCTGATAGGCCCTGGTCATCCCCGTGTCGCCTATCGAGGTGATTGAGGTCCTTATGGGGCGGCACTTTTTTGTGGAGCCGCCCAATTGTTATGTGACTTTCACCTACGGAGGTAGGGAGTACAACACTGAGACGCATGAGAATGCAACCAGCCCGCCTCTCGATTGAAATTGAGGGAAGGTTGATATATATATATATTATATATATATATATATTATTATATTATATTAATTTTCGTTGGGTGAATTGATGGACGATTTATGGGGGAACTTTTTAGGAACTAGCTAATGCCATGTTTATCGTCCGTCAAGACGTACTGAAGTCAAGGGTACAAAAATGCATTTGATCGGATTTGGTCATATTTTGTCAACATCTTTTTTTCCCTGGTTATATTACAAACATGAAGATGCAGTGGTGTGTTTTACAATGGTTGAACAAACCATATATGATCATATTCAAAACCATGAAATGCAGTGGTAAGAAATGGTTGACCAGTAAAAAATGTTTGTATAAACATATACCATATAACAAACATTTTTTACTGGTCAACCATTTCATGGTTTTGAATTCAGTTCTTTACTGTACAAAAGCAACGCCCAAAGCTCGATGCCAAGTAAAACCCACCCAAAACTGGGATGCTAGTACAACATGGGATCATGTTTGATGCTAGTACATGGTACACACATATATATATATAAATAATACTACTACTACTTAATAATAATACTAATAATGATAAGAATAATAAATATATATATATGGTTCTACATAGATGGTAAAACCCATAATGGATCTTTACATATCTTCAAAATGTAGAACTGTAGAACTGTCTTGCAGTGGCTTGATGAAAAATCTCTGAGGCCTTCTTTAGAACTACAGAACGACTGGGGATGGTTGGAATCCCACCCATCAAAATGGGAAGGTCATGGGGGATGGTATCCATAAAAATGGTGATGACATGAAATCCCACATGATTTCAAAGCAGCGATATACGATGTGGGATGATCCTGGCTAAGAGCCAGTTGTCATTGAGCTGCTGATTCCAGATGAACTTAGGTCAAAGTTCACGCGAATCTTTTCTTAGAGTCTCAAATGGCGCCTACTATGTGGTACGCGAAGTATGTATGTGTTTTAAAGTAACCCCCAAAAAAGATAGAAACGTAATTTACAATTTTATTATATCTAAGTAGCCATTTACTTTTCTATCCACATTTTGATATTTTTTTGCCCATGGCTGGACCCATCTCCAATATGTGAATCCCGAGGCAGTGGCCTGACTCCAAGCATGAGCTGGCCTATGATGGCCAACCAATCTCTATCGACTTCGCCATCATGCAACGCAGCGCGAAGGCTGGGTCTCATGCTTTGCCTGGAAAAAAACATGGGGTGAACCCCAAGCTATAACTGGTTGGTGGTTTGGAACATGACTTTTATTTTTCCATCTATTGGGAACAATAATCCCATTTGACCAATATTTTTCACAGGGGTAGGTATACCACCAACCAGTAAGAAACACGTCAAACAACCATGGTTCCGCACTGACAATCCGTGGGAGGATCCTCAAAGGTCCACAGTTCTTCCTGCCGGTCAGGAGAATGTGAAAATTGCTTCCGTGACCGTGAAGTGGGACCGTTTTCTACCTGGCCTTCGCAAGGCATACTTAGTTCTGGCGCGAACTTGAGATAGGAGGGAAATGGATAACTACATGTTGTCCAACATATTGAATGTTAAATACCCAAGATTCACAGAAACTACGAACTTTAACTTTCGACATAAGGTCGACAAAGGATCCAAACTGTTGGATTGTGGGTTGAAGTTGAACCACAGAGAGATTGAATCATATTAATTTATATTATATTTCTCCACCAAAATTATGGTTCAATACAAAATCAACATTAGGTGCCTTGCTGATAGTAATAATCCTAATCCTCTCCCTAGTTTTAAGTCGGTCTTGTGAGTGGACTGAATCCCCCAAATATTTACGTTATATGTGCATATCTCCCAGGAAATATATCCTTACACCCATGAAGGGCCCCACCAGTTATAAGCTGGTTTATAGCCCTATCTATAGATATACCCCATGACAAATCCGATCTTTAGACTAGTTATAGTTATAACCTAAGTTAACTAACGTTTTGGGGGTTCCTTCCACTTGTCGGGAACTTAAATGTTAAATATTGTTCAGTATATAATTATGCATGGACATACATTCTATGATTTGTACATGCATTCATTTACATAACGTAATATGTATGTACATATATATATATATAATGCACATTTATAACCATTAAATATTTGATTATACCCTCATCACATACCTGGTTTCATCCATTTTTTGTGGCTCAGGTGGCAGACTACCTGGTGACCCCCTTGGTACCTGGCGTCAAAAACACCGCGGCCATCCGCGTGGCTGCCACGCTGCAGCCCCAGAGCATGCCCAAACGGCCGGCGGGGCCACGGCGGAAGGCGCTCTTCGTGGGGATTTGCTATGAGGGAACCGATTGGTGCCGTGGCCATTTCGCCATGGGTAGTCCATTCCATCCGTTGGTTGGTCATGATCCCTATTTCAATGGCTATTTGGGGATATTTACCACTGTTTCAGACTTTAGATTGGGGAAGAAGATGGTCGATTTTTTGGGTTGAGTTTGGGGTTGTGGGTTTGGGATGGTTTTCGGATGTGGTGTGATTGATGGATCAAATTTGGGCTGAAAGATGGCCGTAGGAAGCTAGAGGATGGTGATGGTGGTGGGATTTGAGAATGGAAAACATGGCAGCTTTACCAGCAGTGACGGTTCAAGTACGGGAAGTCTGGTCCAACATGATAAAGAACCACCGGGTAGAACCCGTTGGTTGAACATGGAGCCCATGAAACCAAATGGCGGTAGAAAAATCTGGTGACATCGCCATGGTCTGGGAAATCATGATGGGATCCCCCCGAGTCAATCGGCCGTTGACAATTACTCGTTCAGTATCGAATGCATGGGTGCGCTAGTAGCTATATGACGATAATAATGTTAAGATCTCAATAATCCCAATAGAAGAGTCAGTATAAGCAAAGTGTTTTCATTTCTTTCTGATAGCAGTCCTTGTCATTTCTGGGTCAACTTTAAAAAAAAAAAAACAGTTACAACGTGTTGCCACCGTATGGACAAATCGGGGGGGTGGCAACACATGTTTCTGGATAAATCATTACGACCTCACTGTTTTCACTGGAATCTTTTTTTTTTTTAAATGGATGTAACTATCCCAAATTAGCCTTGATTCATAATTGACATCAGATAGCTTATAACATCTTATAACCATAATCAGTAACCATCTATATAACCATAATCATCAATGATGTATTATAAATTTATACCCAGATGTTTGATGGTTCATCCCAATAGCTTGGATGAGAATCATCGTGGTTGTGGCTTGTTCGGGATGGTTTGCTAAGCAGATGACGGCGATTTCAGGATGGCTGGGCGGCAATAAGATCATATCAGCCATAGCAGTCATAACCCAAGCTTGAACAGTTGAGCCACTGATTTCATGCTGCTTTTTCTCTAACTTGTGACCTTTTGGCCTTTTGGTTATCCGTTCCATGGCAACACACCAGACAGGTTTCTGACAAGTTCCAAGCCTCATAAAGTTGCAACGAGGTACCTCCCCAAGTGCCACGAAGATGTCACTCGACTTTTTCAGTACGGCAAGTCCGGGTCAACATTTTGGCTGGAAATCAACAGCCGATCCGACCATTTGTCCATATTTTCCCAGTAGTCTTATCATACCAGTTATATAGTGATTGGAATATATATATATATATATATTATATATATATATGATGGTATACATGTAGTATATATTATACATATAGTATATGTTATTATATTATTATGTATACCAACTATATTTGGTTATATGTAATTATATACATTAATAGTTCTGTTTTTTTTCGGATTGGAATCCGGCATGAAGCTATGGGGATTCAGTTGACCAGCAAACGTGACCCTGGATTTTTGCCAAGAAAAAAAGAGTCACTTGAAATCTTAGATTTGGTGGTTAATAATGGTTAATCTATGGGACGACATCATCTGGTTGGTGGTTTGAAACATGGATAATAATGGTTAATCTATGGTTAATAATGGCTAATAATTGGAATAACAATATATCTGGTTGGTGGTTTGGAACCATGGAATTTGATTAGACTTTCCATATATTGGGGATGGAAACATCATCCCCACTGACGAACTCACTCCATCATTTTTCAGAGGGGTAAGGCTCTACCACCAACCAGATATTTATTTTAGGCACCAGTTTATTTAACGTTTCACGCATTTCTATGCGCGTTGCTTAAACAGAGTGGTTAGTGACCCAACGACCCGCTGGACACGTGATACTTGGTTCACCTTGGTTCAGAAAGTCAGAAATCATAAGCCCACAGTCGGACAGTCGGACAGGCGGACAGTCGTGGGTCGTTAGTCCAGTAACTGGTTATTTAATATAGTTTGACTACTTGGAAGTGCAGTTCCAGGTTATAGCTGGATATATTTCACCATAGTTATAGGGGTTACCCTCGGGTTATTTCATATAGCGAACTGACAAATCACCATTTTTTTTAATGGGCCGGAGGGTATGTTATAATCTGTTATAAGCCACTCATGATTCTTCATAATTTAGAGCGAGGGCTGACGAGGTACGAGGTGAATCTTTGCAATTTAAGCGAGGTGAATTAATTAAATTCAGAAAACGAGGTGGGCAGAAATTGCTTTCAAAGCATGTGCAACGAGTGAAAAAGAAACTTTTCGGGCTCCAGAAAGTTTTTTGTTCCCATCAGAGTGAAAAAATAGAAAATTAAGGGTGCATTCAGACCCCGTGAAAAAAATACTTTCTGGAGCCCGAAAAGTTTTTTTTATCGTAATTTCAGTCAGTGCCCTGTGGTGGCATGCCCGGTTGTTCCAGGACTTCCGTATTTGTTCTACAGTGAAACCACTGTTTAAGAACCCACTGCATTAAGAACTTCAGGGGCTGGATTGCTGGATTCAACTCTGTCTACCAGCTAATTGAAATAAGAACCCTAGGGAACCCTGAAATTTTGGTCAATAGTTCTTATTCACCTTTCCCAGGTAGCGCGACTAGATTCTAAAATTGCTAAAGCTTGAGGTGTAGCGGGGTATCTTGGTGCTGCTGCTGCAGCTTCTCTTCTCTGGAGTCGAATTTGGGGGGAATCGAGACCCTTGTAAAAGAGGCATCTCGGAAACAGGAAAAAACTTTTTAGGCCCTGATTTTTTTTTCAGCATCCCCAAGCCTCTGGAGCCCAGAGCCTTGCTGCAACGACGACAAAGATAATTCAAAAAAGTTCAACCCAAAAGGAGGCAGAGGACTAGTGCGAATGGCTTGCGGTCGAGAAAGAAATGGGACGAGGGCTGAAATCCGTTTTGAATGTAACGAAGCGAGGACTGAAGATTTAATCAGAGGGGAAAAGTAGATTTAAGACGAGGAAACCGTTTTGAATTTAAAGTAAATTTTGCAGAATGATTCCTGAGTAGCGGTAGCTGCCATGACCTGGGAAGGACTGTGGCATCTCATCTAATCACTGGGTGTATGAAGCCCTATTGATGATCATTTATGTAAGCAGACATATTAATACAGGTATATACTTGGTGTATATATATATATATACTACACATGTGATCATATTACTAAAACTATGTGAATCTATGTGATATTATATGACTCATGACATATCATCATTTCTCTGTCGTTTTCTTTGGACCCCAAATGCTTTTTGTTGTCCGTCACCCTGTTCGTGACGCCCCTGGCCCTAGCCTTCTTTGAGGCTGAAAAGATGAAGAACCTCTTCTGCGGTCATTGGGGCTTCATCGACTCTCCTGAGAACACCAAGTGTCTTATCGATTGGCGGGACGCCCCGGACAGCCCCTTGACGGCAACCCAAAAGACAGCATGAGGTTGGACCACGATTCGTGATTTCGGAAGTTGGGACGTTCTCGGAAGTTTGGTCTGGCTTGGAAAATCGAATTTAGGCAACCAAAAACGCAAGTATTTCTATATGTTTTCGTGTTTGACCGGCAATTTTAAGGTTCAAACGCGACCTCAAGAAGAGATGGAGAAAAACTGGACGCCCCAAAAAAGATCATGAGAATAAACATCATTTAGAAGATCCCGGGAAAAAATATGCAGATCCCCAAAAAAAGAACACCATGGGGCCGTCATGGCTTGGCGTCCAACTTTTTAGACTAAGGTACTCGACCAACCCTAGCCAACATCAAGGCAGGTATGAGGCGCGGAAGGTTGCGGATGGTTGTGGTGCAAACAGGTGTTTGGATAGCTCAAAGTTATCTCAGAGAACCAAATCAGCAGGGCTTCCAGCGTAGCAGGGCTATGGGTGGTGAAACACACTTTTTCCACCCGAGCACTGATACAAAACAAGAAATAGCCGTTATGTGCGAAAGTACTTGTCCCGTGGTCATGGCAGATGCCCATTTATAATTAGGGCGGGAAAAAACAAATCTTGCTTCCCTTAGGCTCACTTTTCTGCTTAGAGACATTTTTGGAATGTGTAGAATGAGGAGCCGCCTTGGACGGTGCAAGGTAAATGATGGTGGACACAACGTTTGGGGGTCATTAGGCCATCGTCGTCCGCGGGTGTCTTCGAGTCGGCTATGAACCAGCTAGTTTTTGGCATTGTTCCCGACAGAAGTGGACACAGAAGACAGCGCGGCAAGCTCAGCAGTATATAAATGTATACTATGTTCATTGATCATGTGGTTGTCCGTGTGTGAGGCCCTGAAAGGTTTTTAAGTTTTATTTTTCTAGGTGCTGGGAGAAAGGCTTTGTTTCTCGCCATCAGCATGTGACGATTTCTTCTTTTGAAAGATTCTTCTTCTCCCGGTGAAAGGATTCCTCCTTCCCGGCGCCGGGTTGGGAAGATTCTCTTTTTCCCGGCGCCGGGTCTCGCTCCCGGCGCCGGGTCTCCCTCCCGGCGCCGGCTCTCCTCCCGGCGCCAGCTGAAGCCTTCCTCCTTTCCCAGTGCGGGGTGGAAGCTTTCTTCCCTTGCTGGCAGAAAGACCAGCAACCGCGGCGACATACAGTATGTTTGTTGCTGAGCTCAGGGCGTCAAGGTCTTCATTCCCTTCTAACGGCGCCAGGGTGACGACGAGCGCGCTTCGATTCAACAATGACACCCGGATTCTCGAAATTCAAGGCGCAGATCAGCTTTAGCGTGGAGAGATGTATTTCGGCCATGAGATGGAGGATAATTAAGGAACAGCAACGCTGCTGACTGTTGCTAGCTTTCCGTTCCGCGCCTACACACCCGCCCTATAGGTTTCTACGGAGCCTCCTGCTATGTCGGCAGCAGACGGACGCCTACCCTGCCGTTTTGAAAATGTATGTATGTATATCTGGTAAGAGGCATGTACGCTTTTAAATATTCCCTCACAGTCGCACCTGCACCCAGACGAGGATGAAATAAATTCCGGCCATTGCAGGCACCAGGCGCCAATTTTTGGTGCAAATTTTCATTTTTGAAAACGTACGAAATCACCTCGCACAGCCCCGATGGCTTGGCTCCACCCACTGCCCCGCTCAAAGGGCTAGTGGCGGCCTTCCTCCGAATGCCCCGTTCAAGCTCCTTACTCGTACAAGATTCAAATCTTCCTCCCAAAGCCGCGAACGAACCATTTCCACCCAAAGCCCCGATGAAACCATTCCACCCAAAGCCCCGATGAAAAATTACACGCAAAAACGGTTAAAAAAAAAACAGCAATAAAAAGTGTTTTTCTCGTTTCTGGAAAGGGCCTAGATGCTTCCCAAGTCTCAGCTGAAGGGCCCGCAGCAAGGACTTGCTTGAAAACCCCAAAAGACTGGATGGCGGCATGAAGCAATCTTGAATACTACTTCTACTACATCGGCACTAATGCAAGCCTAAAAGGCTTGAGGTCACGGGGTTTTCCTTCATTCCATCCGGTTCTGCTTCTTGCATCAACGCGTCTGCCAGGCATATATGGAAGCAATGCAGAAACAGACTCTGGTCCCTGTTCTGTTCCCGTTTGAGACATGCAAAGTTCAAGGTCCATCGTAGCAATGCTCTTTTTCAACCAGCGTTGTGCAAAGCTTTGGCACCCAAGCCGCTGCTCCTGTTTGCTCTTTGCTGTGGCCTCTGCCTTTCTAGGGCTGGCCTGTTTTAATTTCCCGCTTAGCAGGATTAGCAAATGAAAATGGAATTGGTAGTGTTCTGCAAGCCGTGCTTGAAACAGCTACAGGACTGAGCATGAGGGTTGAATGAGAGGGCATTGCTGCAGCTTGCTGCTCCCAGTGGCTCGGGCGTGCCTTGACGGCAAGCTTCCCCAAGTTGAGAGCTTTCCCCATGAAGGCAAGGATTCGAACGCCCGTGGTGAGTTGCCATCTTGACGAAGGCAACTGCCGCTAATGCTCTAGGTGCTGCCTGCGTTAGCCTTCTCCGCGGCGTGCCCAGCGCGGGGTCGACTGTGAAATATGGCAAAGGGCGTTTCGCATGCTACTGGCCTGGTTCTCGTCGCAGGAATTCAAGGCAACATTGCGAAAGAAACAGGTGGCCACTGAGATCAGGTTGTACATACGGTTTCATACATGTTGATTTTCACAGGTACATGCTGTTGAAGTAGCCCCCCAAGGACAAGAAGTGCCCAAGCGAAGGCTAAGGATTTGCTAGTGCTCAATTGCATGGGTCTGTCCTGTATTGGCCATTGCTTGTCATAAAACAAACTTACATTGCAATAGCAGAGGTTGTGGTTGAACCAAACTACATGGGGTCTTGAAATGTGTTCCGGTAGAAGATTCAGTGAACTTTTGCAAGGCTATTTAATCAGAAATATCTGTTCAATGTAGCTAGGTGGGAAACCCCCCCCAAGCCCCGCTCCACCCAGTGCCCTGCAAATTCTTTCCTCCAATTATCTATACGATTTGGATCTATCCAATATCCATGGGATATTTGGAACATAAATTCATGGGTCAAGCTATCAGGTTTGATTTGTTCTTCAAATGACCAACGGTTGAGCCAGAGAGATGAAACCATGACATGTTGCTTCCAACCTAGGGATGTATGGCTGATCTTGGTGCGTAAACCCACGTGTCACGTATCGTGTTGTTTTGTGTACACGCAACTGTAGATCAATCTCCAGAATTTCGAGCCTATTTTTTTTGCCTCAAGTAGATTCAGAACATTTGATGACACACCAATTTCGAGGTAGGATTTGACTTTTCTATATACTTTTCTATCTTTATTTCTTGGGGCTTTACCGGGCTTACCTACTTTTCTTATGGCATTTCTGACAAAAACAACGGCCCCGGGCCCTTGTCAATCGCCACGTGAGGTGGCTGGTGGAGGGAGCCATGCCGGGGGACAGTCTCCTTTTCTTCTACTGCCGCATGGAGAAATGCGGGGAAGTCCCATATTTGGCGGGATTTCATCGGATTTTAGAGGGACTTAATGGGATTAGATGGGATTTCATCGTATGTTAAAGGGATTTCATAGGGATTCTGGAGGGATTTCGTTGGGCGGAAAATGGCTTCGGAAGCCTTGGTTTTGAGCATCCCAGATAGAAAGTGGTGCCAGTAACCCAGAAATCAACAAGAAGTATATGTACATTATGAATCCCATTCTAATCCATTATAATCCCATAAAATGTACATATAACATCATATAACAACATCTATATAGTGATAGTATGTTATAGTATATAGTTACCTTCATTATCATATGATAACCCCTTATTTGGTACAGTGTTTCATAATTAGCTTCATAGTTACCAACTGCTTCGGATTTCGCAACCATTCACCGTACCACGTGTACCACGTGTACCACGCGCAATGCGCAACCACGCGCAAAGCGCAACGGTGAGCTTATCGATCCCTGACCGTCCCAATATGTCAGCCACTTCCTTCCGATTCATTGATGATGACATGTGTTGCGAACTGTGAACTACAGTTTTTACCCTCTGGTAAACTGTTACATAACTATAGGACATCACCATTTTGTATAGGTAAATCAACTATTTCTAGGGGTATTTTCAATAGCCAACTGTTGACAGAACCAGGCTGGGTAGCTGTCAGGATAGTGACCTTACTGAGCCATCCACGGTGAGCTGCTGAGTTTGCCAAGGTGGACATGGCTCCCAGCAGCGCAACGTGGATCGCAGGGAAAAGGACGGCTTCGATGAGGTACCCAGAGGAACTCACGGGGAACGTTTCATTTTTCGCATGTGCAGGAGCTAGTGACCTAGTGAATGGAAAACTATAAGTGTATAGGACTAGCTGTGATGTATAGATATGTATAGTATATTAGGATTATGTACACTATATAATATCCTACAGAATACATAATCCTGTACATGACTAGTATAATATGATTTGAGGCATCAAATGGCACAAATGACAGCAGGGTTCGGTATCTCAGTAGAGTCTTCGAGCACCTACAGGGAACCCCAAGAAGTGTGTGAAAAAACACCCGGGTTCCGATTGGAAATGACCACTTTCAGGATTTCAGTTAAGTTCAACAGCCTTGGTAAGTCGAGATGTCCCTTCCTTTCGCAGTGCTCTCCACAAGCCTAGCCGGTGCTGCTTGAAAACGAGCCAATCCGTTTACATAAATACCACCACCAGAACCTTGATCTATTTACGTTGGATCATTGGATTTGTTGGGTCGCATTCAGGGGGTGGGAAAGCACTATTGACTTGTGTCTCAGTGAGGTTTTGGTTCTTGCCCCCCAAAAAATCACAGGATGACCCTATTGGATTATGGTTGGCTTTGGTATACTTTGGTGTCCATGTTCAATTCCCAAACATGCATCGTATTTGCACATCGGAAACTCACTCAAAATGAAGAACCAGCTCTCTGGGTCCTCAGCTTATGGCGAGCTTCGCTTCACCCTGGACCTTCTCACCCTATGACAAGGACTTTCCCAGGTAAACTGTCAGGTAAACTGTCAGATAAACTGTCAGATAGGATGCCTGATAAGATTTCAGTTTCGATGCCATAAAGAATGCCAGATAGATTGTCAGAAAAATGTCTGCATGAATGCCAGATAAGATGTCAGATAGAATATGTGTCAGATAGAATGCCAGATGCAATGCGAGCGCCAGATAAGATGTCAGATAGAATATGTGTCAGATAGAATGCCAGATGCAATGCGAAATTTCATGCCAGATAACATACCAGAATATATGTTAGATATAATTATGATACATTATGATATATTTATGTCAGATGAAACGTCCGAGAAGATGTCAGACAGAATGCGTCTAAAATGCCAGATAGAATGCCAGATAAAATGTCAGATAGAATGCCATATAGATTGTCCGAAAAAAAACATGTCAAGCAAGATATCACATAGACGATGTCAGAATATATGTCAGACAAAATTTCAGAGAAACTGTCAGACTGTCAGATGGAATGCCAGATAAAATGCCAGGTTAAATGTCAGGATATATGTTAGATAGAATGTCAACATATTTGTAAGATAGAACGTCAGATATTAAAATGCAAAAATATATGTAATGATAAGATGTCAGATAGAACGTGAGAAAATACGTTAGATAGATTTTCAGATAGAACTTCAGAATAAATGCCACGGTGAGGATCACGCGACATAAAGTATATAATTGTCAGTTGGAAATACTTGTAAACACCAACATTTTATTCTGCCTTATGTTTGATTGTTGCAATTTGGTGCCCCCAGTTTTAGAAGTTTGGAGACCCCTCCAACTGTTTCAATACATACTATGCCGTAAACCCTACTAATTGTAACGAAGTAAACCAGCATATACCTATCAACTGGGGGTCCTCGCAGGTGCTGGTCCCCGTGGACGGCAAAACTGAAGGAATGTTGGTGGATGATGAGATCAACGAGATGTTAGTGCAGCCCCTGCCTGCTGGCGTGTGGGGAAACTCAGTTCATAGCGAAACTCAAGCCCGATAGGGTACTCGTACTGCAAATCATTTTCCGAAGATGTTGAGGAAGGACATAGGGTTCTGGAGCCATGTGCCCAATAATTAGTTATTTAGATGTAACCTGTCCTTTTCCCACTGCTTGGTACATTTTTTTTAAAGGGCCGACCGGCTGACCCACCATTTTTCATCACTACAAGGCCTTGTTACAACACACGTCGAGAATCTTTGAGATTTTAATTCCCGAGAGCGTCTGAGCGCAGGGTTCTTCCAATAGTGGGGGTCTGTATCTCATCTTCTCATCTTCACACCTTCTCATCTTCACATCTTCTCTCACACCTTCTCATCTTCACATCTTCTCTCACACCTTCTCATCTTCACATCTTCTCTCACACCTTCTCATCTTCACATCTTCTCTCCCACCTTCTCATCTTCACATCTTCTCTCCCACCTTCTCATCTTCACATCTTCTCTCACACCTTCTCATCTTCACATCTTCTCTCACACCCTCTCATCTTCCCATCTTCTCTCACACCTTCTCATCTTCACATCTTCTCTCACACCTTCTCATCTTCACATCTTCTCTCACACCTTCTCATCTTCACACCTTCTCATCTTCACATCTTCTCTCACACCTTCTCATCTTCACAGCTTCTCTCACACCTTCTCATCTTCATATCTTCTCTCACACCCTTCTCATCTTCACACCTTCTCTTCACACCTTCTCATCTTCACATCTTCTCTCTCTCTCTCATTCTCTCTCCTTTCTCTCTCTCCTTTCTCTCTCCTTTTTCTCTCTCTCGCCTTCTTTATCTTTCTCTCTTTAGGCCGAGGGTGGTGCCGGCGGAGAGTCACGAAACGTCAACCCTTTCGCACGAAATGAGGGTCGATCGGCAAAAACTGAGATAAAAGTGCGATTTTACTTGTGCCGGAGCAACCCTTTCGCACGAAATGAGGGTCGATCGGCAAAAACTGAGGTAAAATTGCGATTTGACTTGTCCTGGAGCAACCCTTTCGCACGAAATGAGGGTCGATCGGCAAAAACTGAGGAAAATTGCGATTTTACTTGCCCCGGAGCAACCCTTTCGCACGAAATGAGGGTCGATCGGCAAAAACTGAGGAAAAATTGCGATTTTACTTGTGCCGGAGCAACCCTTTCGCACGAAATGAGGGCCGATCGTCAAAAACTGAGGAAAAATTGCGATTTTACTTGTGTGTAAAAGCTTCTGTGTGTAAAAAGCGTCTGTGTGTAAAAGCGTCTGTGTGTAAAAGCGTCTGTGTGTCAAAGCGTCTGTGTGTAAAAGCGTCTGTGTGTAAAAGCGTCTGTGTGTAGAAGCGTCTGTGTGTAAAAGCATCTGTGTGTAAAAGTGACTGTGTGTAACAGCGTCTGTGTGTAAAAGCGTCTGGGTATAAGAGTCTCTGTGTATAAGAGTCTCTGTGTGTAAAAGTGTTTGTGTGTAAAAGTGATTGTGTGTAAAAGCTTCTGTGTGTAAAAGCTTCTGTGTGTAAAAGCGTCTGTGTGTAAAAGCGTCTGTGTGTAAAAGCGTCTGTGTGTAAAAGCGCCTGTGTGTAAAAGTCTCTGTGTGCAAAAGCATCTGTGTGTAAAAGCGTCTGTGTGTAAAAGAGTCTGTATGTAAAAGGGTCTGTGTGTAAAGCGTCTGTGTGTAAAAGGGTCTGTGTGTAAAGCGTCTGTGTGTAAAAGTGTTTGTGTGTAAAAGCTTCTGCGTGTAAAAGCGTCTGTGTGTAAAAGCGTCTGTGTGTAAAAGCGTCTGTGTGTAAAAGCGTCTGTGTGTAAAAGCGTCTGTGTGTAAAAGCGTCTGTGTGTAAAAGTCTCTGTGTGTAAAAGTGTTTGTGTGTCAAAGCGTCTGTGTGTAAAAGCATCTGTGTGTAAAAGCGTCTGTGTGTAAAAGCGTCTGTGTGTAAAAGCGTCTGTGTGTAAAAGTCTCTGCGGGTAAAAGCCTCTGTGTGTAAAAGTCTCTATGTGTGAAAGAGCCTGTGTGTAAAAAGCGTCTGTGTGTAAAAGCGTAAAAGCGTCTGTGTGTAAAAGCGTCTGTGTGTAAAAGCGTCTGTGTGTAAAAGCGTCTGTGTGTAAAAGGCTCTGTGTGTAAAAGCGTCTGTGTGTGTAAAAGTCTCTGTGTGTACAAGCGTCTGTGTGTAAAAGCCTCTGTGTGTAAAAGCGTCTGTGTGTCCAAGCGTCTGTGTGTAAAAGCGTTTGTGTGTAAAAGTGTCTGTATGTAAAAGCGTCTGTGTGTAAAAGCGTCTGTGTGTAAAAGCGTCTGTGTGTAAAAGGCTCTGTGTGTAAAAGCGTCTGTGTGTAAAAGCGTCTGTGTGTAAAAGAGCCTATGTGTAAAAAGCGTTTGTGTGTAAAAGCGTCTGTGTGTCAAAGCGTCTGTGTGTCAAAGCGTCTGTGTGTAAAAATCGTTTGTGTGTAAAAAGCGTCTGTGTGTAAAAGCGTCTGTGTGTAAATGTGTTTGTGTGTCAAAGCGTCTGTGTGTAAAAAGCGTCTGTGTGTCAAAAGCGTCTGTGTGTAAAAGTGTCTGTGTGTAAAGGCGTCTGGGTGTAAAAGGTGGCTGTGTGTAAAAGCGTCTGTGTGTAAAAGCGTCTGTGTGTAAAAGGCTCTGTGTGTAAAAGCGTCTGTGTGTAAAAGTGTCTGTGTGTAAAAGAGCCTATGTGTAACAAGCGTCTGTGTGTAAAAGCGTCTGTGTGTAAAAGCGTCTGTGTGTAAAAGCTTCTGTGTGTAAAAGCTTCTGTGTGTAAAAACGTCTGTGTGTGCAAAAGTCTCTGTGTGTAAAAGTGTTTGTGTGTAAAAGTGTTTGTGTGCAAAATCGTCTGTGTGTAAAAGCGTCTGTGTGTAAAAATCTCTGTGTGTTAAAGTCTCTGTGTGTAAAAGTCTCTGTGTGCAAAAGCGTCTGTCTGTAAAAAGTTCTGTGTATGAAAAACATGAAAAACTTTACAAAAATACGATGCAAACTATTGTCTTGTACTAGTCATATATTGTCTTGATACTACTCTTCTCGTCTGCCTATAATACATCTTTAATATAGTGTCTCCATACTAACAACAGAAGACTCTGCTCCTTTACGCTCTCGGGCCATCCGTCGTCTAGTTTGTGAAGAAATTCCTGGGCGTAACTTGCCCAGCAAACATGGTCAAAAATGATTGCATCTGGATGCAATCAAACTTCGGATTTGAAGCGTTCAATAGATGATTTCATGAAAATATCATTACCCTCTGGTAAACATACGAAAAACTATGGAACATCACCATGCTATCAATGGGTAAATCCACTATTTCTATGGCCAGCTATTCAATAGCTATGTTAAATTACCAGAGGGTAATATGGTTAATGTCAACCCCGGATGAATCAACCCCGTTTACGGCTGTATAGTTGGGAAGGAGTACCCCCTAATTTTCATAAACCATGGTTGATGTTTTCATAAATACAATTTTAGGGATGGGGTTTTCATAAACCTAATTTTCAACCAATGTTGAGTACTTGTTGATGGGATTTTCATAAGCCTAATTTCATCCGGGTTTCACATGATGTTTTTTCAGGCTGCCTGGAGGTGGTTGCTAAGAAAGAAAACTGGCTAAAAGGTGTAAACTGTTTTACCACATGGATATACTGTACATGGTGATTTTCCAGAACTATTGTGAAATTACCAGAGGGTAGCCCCACACCTGCTGGAAACACGTTTTCTTGCGATTTTTCCAAAATTTACCCGGTTGTTTTCCTAATTTTAATGTCTGAAGAGCCCGTTTTGACTGAATCCATCTCATCATTGTTGTAAGGGCCCCTCCTAAAAAAGATAGAAACAATTTTTCAGAGATGATATCTGACCCTCATCATCTCCACATTTCCGGCTTTTCCATCCCAGAATTGGAGGGATAAGATTGATACAAGAACTCCGTTGTTTGATGTTTTACATCAGATTTTCCAGGGTTTCAGTTTTTCCATTGGATTGTGCGGGAACATTTATATAGAGGACAGTCTTCGATTTTTCCATGCTTTCGATCTGCTTGGGGTTCAGTTCCACTAATATGTGGATTAATTAACAACAGTTGTAGGGATTCTTACCAAAGTTATACCCATTATATATATTTTGCGTATAGCCATAGTTATAGGGGTTATATCCCAACTTAGTGATTTCCACGTTTATACCCATTATATAAATACTAATCGCAAGTGCACCCCCTTGGACCTTTTTTCCCCAAGGCGCCTGACGTGTTTCCTGGATTCCTGCCACAGCGGTGGCGGCTTAGACTTGCCCTATCAGTGGAATCCCTACATGGAGGAATCCAGCAGTGAGTCCGATTTTTTCAACCAACTGCTGGAGGAACTGGGGCTTTCAGCAGACATGGACAATGAAAATAAGACCTGGCTAGGAATGAACGGAATTAACACCACATTTTGTGATGTGGGGATGGGTCAAAACCCTGGTACCTAGTGAACCCCAAAATAGCTGGTAAATGGATGTTCATCCCATTAAAAATGGTATCTATAGGTATTGATCCATAGCCATGTGTTCTGGAAGAGAAATGAAGATGTGCCTACATCCTGAGTGCGTTGGAATGAAGCGTTGGAATGAGTGTCTGCTCGCTGTTTTTGGAAGCGATGGATTTCACCAACGTTGTGCGAACCGATTTTCACCAACAAACATGTGGATTTAACCACACAGATAAGTCCATGGGGTACCTTTTGCCAAACAGACAAAATGAGGAGATATTCCCCACATCCAGGCGAGGGAGATCACTTGGGACTCCCAAATCTACATCCATCGTTGGTTTTTTCGTGCTGTGCACTGTGAGTGGCTTTGTTCATAAAATGGGGATTCAATGAAGATCTGCATCACCAGATATCGTCGTTCCCATACTTGAATACGTGCCTCGTTTTTATGAAGGGGGAACTTCATTTTTTTTGAAACGCTATGATCAACGTCGAGGGGTTCCACTTGGGGACAGATTGACGACTTGGGACTGCAGGAGGGAGCATCATGGCATCTTGATGAGGCAGGAACCTGTGACCCGTGAAATTTGACGAAACTGACAAAATCGCGTGTTCTACTTCCACCACAAATTCAAATTATAGGGGATTTTTCTCATTGCCATTGGTACCATCCCAATCATTCCAAATTTACGCGAAATGTAGCGATCTTGTTGTGCAGAAATTTCCATGATTTCACCTGATCGCCCCAGGGCGGTGTTTACGCCGACGCCGACGTGATCTGCGTCTCAGCTGCTGCAGAGGATCAGACGGCCAAGGGAATCCCTCGCCTGGGCAATCGTGAGAACTTCCCCAGTGGCGCCTTTTCGGCCTCGTGGTGCGTCGCGTGTGAAGTGCATGAGACGCAGTGTAAGATGAATTGGAAGGAGACGATGATGGATATGATGGGATGGGGAATATGATCGGATTATATGAGTTGATATGATGATGGGGAAATGATATGAAATGATCAGGAAGGAGATGATGATGGGAAATTCATTGGTTTATATAAGGGAAATTCATTACTATAGTTTAAGCCCCATGATCTTCATGGGAAATTCTTAATGGTTTCCGGTTTTAAGATTTTCCCGACTAAACCAATCCATTGAGAAATAGATAATATGAGTTGATATATGTTGATATGATGACGGGGACATGATATGAAATGATCGGATTGAACTCTGGCTCTTCCAATTTATAGTGCAGCTTTTTTTAGATACGACGATTGGACGGAGATCTGACTGGTAGGAGGATGGAATTTTCCCTTACTGGGCTGGCTGGGGTGGACCTGAATCGCACCTTTTTGAAACTAAAGATATGAATCCTATGGTTTGGCATATTAGCTTGAATCCAGATAGGTGTATGAGAATCGGGTATACGGTATACCATGGTATACCCTTGTTACTGGCTGCCTATTTTCCGCTGCATTGACGGCGAAAATGGGGTGATACACCATGAATTTTTGGAGCTGTTCCCATCATTTCCAGCCAAATCATATCAATCCAGGAGATGCTGGGCATCGTGAAGGAGGTCTGTGATGATTTCAACTGGAGCCAGAACGTGCAGCTTTCGAGTTCACAGAAGTTTGACCTCACGCGTGAGCACCTCGGGTCAGCATGCTATGGGATGAAGCCGCTTCAGGGAAGGGAGAAACAATGGGGAAGGGACGTTGAAATGCTTTTTGTTTAAAGTGCATTTTTATGACATATCATAATTCATAATTTTGATTCACAGCGATTCATAATTTTTGATAACACGATGATAAACTTTGGCGGAACGGGTGAACCCCATCAAAGCTCAACAGCCTGGCAATTGGCGTCAAACGAATGGTTTTAAGTCATCTGTAAATAGATTATGGGAAACAATGGGTAATTGAGTTCAATCTATGGGGATATGATATAATATGATATAATATGATATAATATAATATGAAGGGGATCTAATACAATCATTCTCCAGTGGCTAAGAGGGAGCAGTTTGGAGCGACGGGCATCCATACTAGAGCTGCTAAGAGCTTCCCTACCATATGATAGCACTAGGTTGTCTATTGGGGGATACCATTTGAGCAGCCTTAGTCAATCAGTTTCTGTTAATCTGGTGTTGACATTACTTGAACAGTGTGAACATCTTTGGTCTATTGGGTCTGAATTTGGGTCTTTTTTGGTATCCATACAATTGAGACAGTATGTATAATATGGGAGTGTCCAAACCTGGGGCATCCCAAAGTTCACTAATTGGATTCTCAATCACATGGCCCATCCCAAAATCTTGTGGATTGTTATCATTTTCCCTTTGGAATTGCAGCCTTTTTTTTCTATAACGAAGTCACCAACATGTTTGGTTTTGATCATGAAAATTGGCATCAAATAGCTCCTGGTTATTTAACATAGCCATGGTATAGATGGCCCATAGAAATAGATGGTTTACCGTTCTTAAAAATGTTAGTCATAACCAGATGGTAGCTGAAGTTATTCTTGCTAAAGCGCAAGGAATATAGGAATTCCCGAAGCTCGATCCCCTTAGGTCCCTCCCTCCCCCCGCGCAGTAGAACCTTCCCTTCGCTTGGAAACATCTTTACCCGACGAAACGCAAGAGGACAAAATTAGGATGTGCAGGTATTCTTCTATAATATTCTATATACTGTCATATATTATTCATATATTCTGTATATTTCTACTGTTACATGTAAAATTACCACCTCTTAACCCGAAAAAAACGCCCCTTTTTTTCACCTAGATTTCGCCCTCCGGTGAATCCATGTGAATCCTCATCAAAACCGTATCAAAATTGCCATTTGAAAAGGGCCCATTTTCAGACACAAAGGGATTAGACTTTCGTGTGCTCAACTGTCTTATTCTACAAGATTGAGCCCAACTGGCAGAATCAAACAGAGGCACAACTGTCACGATTTTGGTCAGATTCTGCTTTCATGCATGTGACTTTTGGGGCCACGTAGTCATCTTTGCCCAGTTTTCATGGATTGAGTCTTCGGGCGCAGACCAAAAGGTGGTGACTCTTGGGAATCCGCAAAACGTCCAAAACCTCCGAAACGCGAGGGATAGCAACTCGGATGTTGTCCGATTTCAAGGGTTATCCCATTTATAGCTGGGTGGACTAACCCTACTTCTCAACCAGTTATGATTCGCGGGATGATCCTCAAGTATCTCAGATTTGCATCCCTAACTGGGATGCTGCCAATTGCTCAATATCTTTCATATTTAGCCAGGGTGCACCCAGCCGATCAACTGAGAGCACGCTGCCATTGCCTTGCTGAGGTTCAATTTCCACGACTGCATCCCCAACAGCAACGACAAGAAGGGTACCTCGATGGTGCACTTAGCCATACATTTTCATATGAAAAAATGATAAAACATGATTAAACATGATTAAACGATATTAAACGACAGTGTTTCATTAGCAGCTATGAATTGGATCTTCCCCCACAAAAAAAGACTTAGATGTTGATCGATTTTTGGCAACAAACAACAACGACGAAAAATGGATTTTCCCATGGATCTTCCTACCGATTTTAGTGGCTGATTTCCCATGGATTTTCCCATCCCCAGGGGCCCCCCGAGGCCCTGTGGTGAATGATGGGATGCCCGGCTTTCCGCGCCGGAATCGCTTGATGGATCCCACCTTCTCCGGTTTCAAAGTGCCATGAGACGACGGCCATGGACACATTTGATGTATCCCGGAGGATGTTTTGGCGCCGAAAAATGGGCATTCCAAACTTTTGGGAGTACCCAATAGGAGCCCCAAAATCATCCCAAACTCGAAAAACAAAAGCATTACTTAGTAATTGTTGAAAGCCGTTGATTTTTTGGGGCTAGCCCTATTTTAGAAAACCTCCATAGTAAACATGGAATGTATCCCCATGTATCCCCAATATATGGCTATTAAGAAAAGGAAACTAATTTTATACATGGAATTTTGGGACTTCCCTATTTTCAGACAAACCAGGGCATTGGTAGTCAATTTTTGAGACCGGAACCACGGATTGACTTGTCTATTGTTAGTATATGTACATGTTAGTATTAAGTATTACCCATCTAAAAAGTGGGGTACCCAATTTTCACTTGACCCATACCACCCGTAGTCATCTGGGGAATGGTTGCGAAATCCTGCACCAGGGAGGGTTTCAACCGTCCGAGGTGCAGGATTTCGCAACCATCCACACTATGGAGAATGTCGATTTATGTGCTAGCAGTTGGAATGGGTTTTGAAGAAAATGGGACTGATTTTTCATGGGATTTACCGTGATCTAATGGGTTTTGATGGGATTTCACCATCATTAGGAGTTATAATTTGGGTTTAAACGAGTATATACCCAAAAAACAATTGTCATAGCGGTTGGTCCACTGCAAGAAAGAAGGCGTTCTACCATCAAACATGGGGTCTTAAGCAGCACGTTGGGGCTTAAGCAACTAAAACCTGTGGTTTGACATGGCACTTGGCGGGTTTCACTGCAAACACGTGCTTGTTTATCCGACGAAAGATAGGTCAATCTTGAGGTACAATTATCAATCAGGTGGCTCCCCCAAGTTACAACAAGTAGTTTTTTAATATATATATATATTATACATATATACATCATTCATCAGCTATATATATATATCCATCATCTACCCTGGTTAATCAAACCAGCATCACCAGCTTCACTAACCTTGAAATCTCCAAAGTCACACTCGAATACCAGGCATCTTGGAATTAAATTTCGATAATTGTTTTAAGATAGTTAGAGTATGTTAGAGTCTCTACCGGGATTTGCGATTTCAACACTAACCTTAAGGCCTTAAGGCAGCATTTTGGATGCCCTCTGGTAACATTTTCATCAAGCGCTCAGCCGGGCAGCACCTGTGCGGATGCCCTGATGACAACGACACTGGACGATTCATTTGGTAAGTCCAGTGACAGCAGGGCTTTTATGGGCTAGTTCTCCCCTAAATTGTGAAATATGTGGGATATATCTCCCCGAACTAGTGCTATATTTTACGGTCTATAGATATTTGTATATACATATATATGATATATGGGATAAGACTCATGACAAGTATTTATCAACCGTTTCCAAAGAGGTTGGGTGTACCACAGTGTAAACAAGGAAGCACTTGTCCATTCGCGCTTGGGACCACTGAGGGCGAAGTGTTACTGTATTCCCTGCTGTAGGCGCCACCAGGACCACCGGAGAAAGCGCGGTGCCGGCCTTTTAGCCTGGAACTGAGACCTCGATGCTGGGTGAAACGGTTTGTTATTTGTGATGTGATATAGCAAGATAATGCTCCTGTGTTTTTCTGGCAAGGTATCTGCAATATTCTGCAATTATAGGTTGTTAGTTGTTAGCCATTTTGACCCCTCAAGACTCCTCTCGCTCAATCCCTTGCGCTCCGCTGTGTTTGGTCATTGCCATGAGATTTTTCTGCATTTTGGTGGCCTCCCTCCATGTGCTGAGCTTGGCAGGCAATGAAACCCAGGTGGGCAATGAAATGGAGCTGGGCAATGAAAAGAACAAGGTGGCAGGCTTTGAAACCAACAAGTGGAAAAAGCAGCGGCAGATCAACAAAGCCTTCTGTGGAACCGAATCGTATGAGTTGGAAACCAGTGGAAAATGGTGCAAGTCCTGGTGGCTGCCCCCACAGCGCTGGGATACCCTGATCATCAACACGGTTTCCGCCTGTGCGGTGTGTGCTTTTGCCAGTGCCGGGGCCTCCTGCCCTGCATGTGGCCAGGCCGCTGTGGTAGCATTCTTCGAGGATATGGCCAGGAGCCATGCAAACGCTGTGTCCAAGATGGGGAAAGATATACAGCGCCGAGCTGGCCGGTTGTTATCCAACTGGTGGAACGACATCTTGAAGGGGAAGTGGTACCATGCGGATGTAAGTGGCTGGAGGGTGGAGGCCAGAGGTGGATGGGAAACTTACAGAGGCCGTGAGTGCCAATTTGGCATTTGCGGCCCTTGGACTTCAGGGCAAACCCAAGCCTATGTCCAAGTGAGTGTCCATCTCAAGGGTCATTTCTTCAAGGTGAAGAACAGTTGTCACAAGAAAGTGCAGGTGGCCATCCGCTACAAGCGGACCAACGGCCAGTGGGCCTCAGAATGCTGGTGGCAGCTCAATCCCGGCCAAAGCTTTTACCTTGCGAACAACGGAGATCGCCTCATTACGGAGAACAAGATTTGGTACTACTACGCCGAGGAGATTGGTGGAAGTCGCGTTTGGTCGGGCACTGACAACACCAAGAAATGTGGTGGCAGAACGCTCCGCATGAAGGAGAAGAACTATGTGAATTCTGACCAAGACCTTTACTTGGGACTAACCTGCAGCAATGCCAAGAGCAGTGAAGTGGGTGAAGACCCCGGCCCCGGCCTTGACTCGGATGCAGATGGTGTAGGCGAGCGCATTGAGGAGATCCCAGGTGCTGACAATGCATCTACTCGAGAGCTGCTGCCCTGATGATGGGCAGCCCTGATTTTCATTGAAATTTAGGCAGCACCATTCCTACTTTTAGACACTGGTGCATCTTGGGCCTACAGTCAACTCATTTTGCCGCAATGTGAGGCAAAAGTTGAGCTTGGCATTCTTGGAACAGAATGTAAAGAGCCCTCAATGTAGGGGATCCTGTACAGTTTAGTCTGTTTAGTCGGTGCCATTCCATGTGATTCATCCCTGGATTCCCTCTATGGGCCATGGGACAATCCTGCAATTTTTCATAGAAACTGTGACCGCTGCGACTGTGGTGGTTTATTTAATGAGCAAGCTCCTCATGAAGCGTGTTGAAGTGCGCGCAAGAAAAAAGCAATTGACCGCGTCTCAAAACTGAGGCATGTACACATGCATAGGCATGGACAAGTCAATGGTGAAAGGTGAAAGCCAAGGAAAATGACCTAAACATGGTGGAAGTTCCATGTATCGTATATTGGAAGGTATGCGGTATGCGGGCAAATAAAGACCTTGCCTATGGTTGATATATGGAGAATACCCTGAAAGATACTGAAAGTGTTTTTGTATTTCAGACTAATTTCAGATTGCCTATTATACATCTTGCAATTTGGCGATTCACGCAGCGCCCATGTTTTCTCACCTTCAGGTGGCTATGCGGGGGAACTCTCCAGGCGGGGATCAGGCTTAAGCCTTGCCCGAACTGAGAATCTCCATGCTGGCAAAGCTGCAATTTGCTTTATGCCGTTTGTCAACGAAACATGGTTTCTTTCAAGTCCTGACATTTCTATCCCAGTAGTACCGCACAAGGCGGTGGCGGAAGTTTCAAAAATAGGAGACCTATAGGAGAGGTTGGTTGTTGTGAATCACGGATGGCCGAGCGAAGCCACTGATGGACCGAAAGGTGATTGATGTCTCCTCTCTTTCTCTCTCTTTTTCTCCCGTTCTCTGCTTATCTACCTACCTACCTACCTACCTACCTACCTACCGATCTATCGATCTATCTATCTACCTATCTATCTATCTATCTATTTATCTATCTATCTATATGTCTTTCCATCTATCTATCTATCTATCTATCTATCTATCTATTTACCTATCTATCTATATGTCTTTCCATCTATCTATCTATCTATCTATCTATCTGTCTTTCCATCTATCTGTCTTTCCATCTATCTATCTATCTATCTACCTATCTATCTATCTATCTATCTATGTATCTATCTATCTATCGATCTATCTATTTATCTATCTATCTATCTATCGATCGATCTATCGATCTATCCATCTATCGATCGATCGATCTATCGATCTATCGATCTATCTATCGATCTATCGATCTATCGTTCTATCGATCTATCGATCTACCGATCTATCGATCTATCGATCTATCTAACTATCTATCTATCTATCTATCGATCGATCGATCTATCTATCTATCTATCTACCTATCTATCTATCTATCTATCTATCTATCTATTTCTCTCTTTCTCTGATTATCTACCTACCTACCTACCGATCTATCGATTGATCTATCTATCTATCTGTTTGTCTGTCTGTCTGTCTATCTATCTGTCTATCTGTCTAGCTGTCTATCTACCTACCTACCGATCTATCGATCGATCTATCTATGTATCTGTTTGTCTGTTTGTCTGTCTGTCTATCTGTCTATCTGTCTATCTTATCTTATCTTATCTTATCCTATCTTACCCTATCTTATCTTATCCTATCTTACCCTATCTTATCCTATCTTATCCTATCTTATCCTATCTTATCCTATCTTATCCTATCTTATCCTATCTTATCCTATCTTATCCTATCTTATCCTATCTTATCCTATCTAATCCTATCTAATCCTATCTAATCCTATCTAATCCTATCTAATCCTATCTTATCCTATCTTATCCTATCTTATCCTATCTAATCCTATCTAATCCTATCTAATCCTATCTAATCCTATCTAATCCTATCTAATCCTATCTATCTATCTATCTATCTATCTATCTATCTATCTATCTATCTATCTATCTAGCTGTCTATCTACCATCTTACCTGCTCAGCAGACCAAACGACATCGGTACGGCAACTTGACAGTGCGCCTTTGTACTGGCAGAAAAAACACACAGCTCTGTCTTTACCGCCTGCAAAGAAGATGGAAAGACAAGAAACGTCCCGTCTGCTAGACAACCTTCCATGGCGTAGACCCGCTGGTCCATCATGGCCACTCAAGGCGGACAGAAAAGTCACACCGCATGGACAAGTGCTGCTTTGGAGAAACTATGGATACGGTCTAGCAGCTAAGACATCACTGCGGCCTGAAAGCGTGCATCACTGCATGTGTCCCATCTTTCACGCGGCTGCCGGCCGACGCGGCCAGAAATGACGCACGCAGTCAGCACTGACGCAGTGCGCATCACTGCATGTATCCCGTTTTCCTGATGGCTCCGACGCGGTCAGAAAAGACACACGCGCGGTCACTGTCTGTTTGCCCCGGCGGTTTGCAGGCAACTGCTTCTTCGACAACATCAAAAACGCAACATTTCTGCGTGACTTCCTCATTTTTCGAAGTTGACAACATCAAAAACGAAGCATTTCTGCGAGACTTCCTCATTGTTCGAAGTTGACAACATCAAAAACGAAGCATTTCTGCGAGACTTCCTCATTGTTCGAAGTTGACAACATCAAAAACGAAGCATTTCTGCGAGACTCTTCATTTTTTGAACTGGACAACATCCATAATGAAGCAATTCTGCGAGACTGCTTCCGTTTTTCAATTTTACAACATCAAAAACAAAATGAATTCTGCGAGACTTCCTTCAAGAATGGAAAGTTGAGTGCAGAGCTGACAGCCTCGTACCAATGCGTTTTACGATTTTTCATGATTTTTCCACTCGACCTGTCGAAAGTACTGCGCCTGCCACGAAAAAGTGATGCCAGGTCATACGAAGTGCTGCACCTGTCACGCAAAATCATCTGAGCAAACCTACAGATCTGATGCTCCAAAATGCAGCCTCTCTCAGGAAATCACCGCCCTGACCTCCTAATATCTCTGATGAAGATGTCTCTTGTACGGCGCCTGCCACGGAAAATGCATCTTTGAAGATCCTCTTCAAATGTCCCACGCCTGCCATCGTTTTTGGAAATGCTGCAAAACCCTCACGTCTTGCTCACTTTTGACAAGGGGCACAATCCCTTGCGCCTGCCACGCGGAAGCACATCTGAACGTCCAAAAAGTGCTCCGTACCCGTCAGTTTTTTGCACTTTTGACTTCGAAATTTGCTTCGCGCCACAACGGCGTGCACTTTTTCGACATCGCAACTGCTAAAAGTGGTCCGAATCTGGTGTGTTTTGCACATTTTGACTTTGAAATGTGCTTCGCGCCACAACGGCGTGCACTTTTTCGACATCTCAACTTCCAAGAGTGGTCCGAACGTGAGGTGTTTTCAACTTTTTCACTTGCAAATGTGCTTCGCACCACAACGGCGTGCAATTTTTCATCTCTCATCTGGCCAGATGGCTCCGCACCCGCCGCTTTAGCGAGCCTACTTTTCGACCCTCCGGTGCCACAAATCATTGGAAACACATAGTGTTTCGCGACTTTCCTACCTTTTCGCGCACCTTCATCTTCTTTCTTCTGACTCTTTCTCTTCTCTGATCTTCTCTCTTCTACTCTTCTCTTCTCTGACTCTTCCCATCTCTGCTTCCATATTGTCGGAAGTTTGACTTCTAAACTTCCTTCGATTACATAAGACCACATCATTTCACATAGAAATACATCATACTACACCTAGTTGTGGAAGTCAAAGCGTTTCAATGAAATGTGCGTCCTAGGTGGGGGAGAAATTTCTGGAAGTCGGCGCGATGTTGCGTCCAGTTGGTGTTTATCATGTTTGTGTTTTCTCCAATTGATGGTTTATCGTGAGTTTTTCATGGATACCATGCAGATGGTTGTAGCTATTCCCTTGTGTTTTGGGAGTCTTGTACATCACTTGTGGCGCGCCCTGTTGTGCAAGATTCATACAAACACCGACGAATACTGGGTCGATGTTATCACAAGTGCCTATGGGGAAAGGCCCGCATGGGCAGCGCCTATCACTTTAACTTACTGATGTATTTTTTGGCACTTCGCATAGGCACACGACGCTCTTGCCTGCAGCTGCTGCTTGGCTTGGTTTCCTCTTCTGCTCCACCGCTGAAAGCTCTTGAGTCTAACTGTTCTGAAAAGAATGCGAAAGCGTGTGGCTACCAAAGAGTTTGTCAGGAGACTTAGGGGGTCAGTCTCCCAAAATCTGATTTCGGACCTCGTTTGGACCTCGTTTGGACCTCGTTTGCACCTCGTTCGGACCTCGTTAAAATTGCAGCCAGTCAAAACCCAGCCCGGAGAGGTTTTGGAAAGGCTTTGCAATGGTCTGCTGCTTGGTCTGCTGCTGCTGCTGCTGCTGGTGTTGTTGTTGTTGTTGTTGCTGCTTGTGTTGCTGCTTCTGGGCAAGGCGCGGTTTTTGGGCAGAGAAGCAAGAGATTTTGTCTAGCGTAAGCGGTGTGCCAGCCATGCGGCTGGCGCAAGTTCTAGTAAATGGCGTAGGTATCAATGTGCATGTTTGGATAAGCGTCCACATGGTGTTTAACATCCGTGGATATATATTTTTAAGATTGTGAGACATAACTGTGCACACGCGTCCTGATGGGGATTTGGAAAATTTGGGAATAGAAAAGTGCACTGCCAGGGATCTAAAAATAACACTTCTATATAGTGCTTCCCATGGTGTTTTAGACCTGGTTGCATTGACTTGTTTGACTTCCTGAATGCGCGGCGTCCCATGCAGCTTTTACCTTCGTTCCACATATGCACTGACTTTCACGTCCCAGTGTACATCATAATGCAGGATATTTAAGAATACATTGTATGTGTACATTAAACCATTTGCCTTTTTCAAACTTACATCACATTGTGTCATGTTGTTTTATGTTATGTTATGTTATGTTATATTATGTTATTGTGTTTTTATTTAATGTTATGTTCTATAGTTTTGTATTAAATCAAATTACATTAAATTGTTTGTATTATGTTATCCTTTACTCTAGGATATATTGGTCCATTATTTTATATTTCATTTTATACATCATATTCTAATATTATATCAAATCATGTTATGTTATGTTACATGTTAGTTTATTGTATTTAAATAACATTGTATTTTATTTTCTTGCATTAAATGTGTTATATTACATTGAACACGTCCCCATTGAGGTAAATGTCATTAGGTTAGATTACACAATTTTGTTATTTACTTGCATTCATATTTACATGCCATAATTTCATTTGTACTGTACTTAAACTATCTTATACTATATATATATATATATTGATATTGATTTTGACATTGAAATGTATATGTATATTGTTTGCTTTTTTTTAAATTATATATACACCATGGGGGGCCACAAGTGTGAAGCAAGAAATGTAGACTTTTCGGGGCACCAGTGCCGGGTGATGCTGTTGTTGCACGCATGCTGCTGGAAAAAGGTTTGGCTCTCAGAGGTACCGTGCCAACACACAACTAGCAGCCAACATGTCCGAGTCTGTTTAGTAGGACTGGAGATCACGAGCAACACTGCCAGAGGGGTTTTCGGGCCATTCCCTGCGGATTGTGTCACAGAATCCCTGTTTTACCACAATGGGAAGCACTTTTGTGTCAAAAATCACGTTTTTACCACAATGGCAGCAAGCATTCCTGAAATTTTGCTTTTGGAGAATATTATGCTATCTCCCACCGACGTTTCTCAGGAACCCTGTCATTCTGGTGCAGTTTCCGCAT